ATGTCCTGCCTCACTTGCAAAGCCTCACCATCCTCCTTCTCTTTCTAAAGGCTGCCTACAATCCTCTCACGCTGGCTGCGAAACTGAAGGAAAAGCTAACTAAAAAGACAGCAGCGGATGACGAGAAGGGGCGTTTTGATTGGACGCACTTGGGACACGAAGCGGGTGCATGCTTCCGGGCTGTCCCGTCCCGAGTGTCGTTTCTGCTTGGACCTCTGCAAAGCCAGACGATGGCCAAGCAACGTCGACCCTACAAACGACGACACGTCGTCAAGGAGGAGGAACCATTGGAGGAGCAAGTTTTGGTTCCATCGGATGGGAAAGATTGCTCCGCCATTTTGGATCCTGCAGCTCCAATCAAGGCAGTCAAAAAGTCACTCAAGGAGCAGTGCGCGGTGGCTGAGACTGGAGAGATTGATATGGTTCCTTTCCTCGTTAATCCTCATTCCTTTACTCAGACCGTGGAGAACTTTTTGAACTTTAGCCACTTGATCTCCAAGGGCCTTGCCGGTGTGCGGAAAGACGAGGTGGACGGGAACAGTTACATTTGGTATATTGGACAACAAAAGGACGAGAAGCAGAAATCCAAGGAGGGCAGCGGCGTCGTCCATTCCGCACGGCAGCTTGTCATGCCTCTGACCATGCGAGATTGGCGCAAGTTAGTGGATGCCTACAACTTGAAAGAAGGTGGCCTTCCGCACCGTGATTACTCAGCAACAGCTGCAGGTAGTGTGCCCTCAGAAAAAGAATGCAATGAGAAAGTTTCAACTGTTCCCAAAGGACAAAATCAAGAAGAGCAAAAGGATGGAGGACAAGAGGACGTGGCAGCTCGCTGAACATTATGTTGGACCCAAGCTGGTGCTGGAATGGTTTGCATCCTTATCGATTGTATGATTCATGATACTATCTGCTTTTGTTCATGGCCACAAGAGTAGCTGACGGAAGATTGCTGCTCAATCAAAACATAGCTACTAGCTAGTAGGAGATTCTTATGTACTATATGTATTCTTCCGGTAGCTAGTGCTTCTGTGGCCCACGTGCGCTTCCATCGTCTCCCATGCCAAATTGTGAAGCGTGGACGCTCACATCTCGCCGTGATCTTTCGCAGCAACCTCCAAATCGATTTTACAGCGACCAAAACAAAAATAGTTAGGGAGACCTCACCACATGGACTTAAAGATGTTGACATGTCACTCCCGGATTTTGTTGTGGAAGCAGGAAAGATACTTCACTTTTGAGCTATTATCGAGAATCTTTGGCTTGGATTCGATATGCAATTGAGCTTTGTGGCAGCTGCCTCCTGCGCCATTGGACGATGCCAAGGTCACTCCTGCCAGTGGACCGTGCTTTTACCCTCTTGAAGGCCCCATTATCAGCCTCCCTGTCAGCTAATTATAAGAATACCCATCCACCTTGCTACCATACCGGTATCCAATACCTTCCGGTAGGTATATTCTGTCAACATGCCCCGCCGTGCTAGCTTCACGCACCTGAAGCGTCCGTATGAAGAAGGTCGTTTGTTGGAAGAAGTGAACAAATTGGGAGGAGGCACTCTCTTTGCCGACAAGGAGTTTCCTCCCACCGTGGCGTCTCTGATTGACAGGCGCGAAGTTCCTCCGTTTGTGGTGGACGTCCCCAAATTTACGCAACGAACTGCCTGGAAACGAGCGCATGATATTTGGAAGAACGATGATGACAAGGAAAACAAGAATAAGAAGGGAGTGGTACTGTATACCATGGAGAATCTCAAGCCCACCGCCGTGAAACAAGGTGGATTGGAGAATTGCTACTTTCTGGCATCCCTGACCAGTTTGAGTTTGTATCCTGAACGCGTTACGCGTTTGTTTCTACCCAGCAGCAATCCTGACTGTGGCATTTACGCCGTTCGCTTTTTCTGCAATGGCCGACCCAACGAAGTGGTCGTGGACGATTGGCTGCCCATTAAAAAGGGCGACGACCCCGTGTCCCAGGCAGCCGCCGCCAGTTTGGCCAGTATCCCCAAGAATGCCAAAGTCACCATCCAATCCAAAACTAACAATGGCGATGGCACGGAAACCATTGTACGACAAATTGAACATCCCGATGGACGCATGCAATTGAAAAAGACCACCACCGATATTGAACAACCCTCGGGGAAACTACAATTCAGCAAAACGTCCACCGATGAGTTGTGGGTACCCATGGTAGAAAAGGCATATGCAAAGGTCCAGGGCACCTACGCTCAATTGGAGGCCGGGTGTCATTTCGAGACACTCCGGGACTTGACGGGAGCTCCCGGATTCTATTACAAAAGCGTCGACGTCGATCGCCATGGTCTGCTCATGGAAGAATTCTACCGACAACGATTCCCCATGTCCTGTGGAATTGATTATACCTACAACATGCCCTGGAGTGATGAGCAGCTTGATTCGGTTGGATTGTTGGCCGATCATGCCTACAGTATCTTGGCGGTCTGTACTGTGAATACCAAACAAGGCAAACCCCAACGACTCGTCAAGCTACGCAATCCGTGGGGCGATGCCAAAGAATGGACCGGTGATTGGGGCAACACATCCCCCCAATGGACTCCCGCCATTCGGGATCAAATTCGCAAACAGGGCATTCCCCTCGAAGCCGATCCCAACGCAGAAGACGGCATCTTTTGGATGGCCTGGGAAGACTTTGCTCGCTACTATAATTCCTGGGATGTCAATCAGTATCAGGACCACTATCACTTCAGTGCCGCCATGCTGCAAGACAAACCGGCCGTGGGATATCATTTGGTCACGGTGCATGTCCAACAAGCCGGAGAATACACCTTTGGTATTACCCAATGCAGCAATCGGATGCTACCACCATCGGCCAAGTACGAGTACTCGTCCGTTCGAGCCATTCTGGTCAAGGCACCAGAAAATCCTGCCCAAGACGGCACGCCGTCCTTGGCAGGATGTCAATTTATCAAGGGTGTGGTAGGAGAACAACGAGATGAATACATTCAGTTGGATCAAGGAATCAATCCTGGAATGTACTATCTTTTTGTGCAGGTACGTATTGCAGTCTTTGGGGGTTAATATTGGTGGTTTATTTCATGTAGTTGTTTTTGTTGTGATGTCAGCCTCCTCATGATAATGGTTGTTGCCTTCTTCTGTTCGTGTTGTTAGGTCTGGTGGGATCCTTCCTCCAAGCATTTGCCCCATCCACGAGAGATTAGTGTCAATTGCTATGGGACGGCCCGGGTCAAGTTTGCACAAGATGTGGCCGCTGCACACGACAAAATTGAAGTGCTCACCGAAATCTTTGCCGCCAAAGCACGACGAGAAATGGCCGCCAGTCATCACTTTGGTGGGGCTGGAGAACAAATCATTTGTCGTAGTCGTGGACAACCTGATGCCCAAGGTATCCAAGAATACTACAATCGCAACACCTGCCCCGAAGGATACCATTTCCGATTGTTTACCAATACCGAAACCAACAACGTTGTCTTGCAAGAAGACAAGAAATTCTCCTCGTTGCACGGAGCCGAACTCGTGCGTCCGCAAAAGAATACTGCCAACTACAAGGTCACCGGCAAGGATGCCTACTCGATTCGTGTCGGACCGGGTGAAACCAAGGGTGTCTTCTTAATGGTCAAGAAGACCTTTGGTATGGCCGGTCCCATGGGCGCGGCGACCATGATTTTGGGCGATGGTCGGACCGAAAGGGAACAAGATTCCAAACAAAAGGATCTTACGTCTTCCTACAACATTCCAGACAGCACGGGTGTTCAGCAGACTGCTGCGCCGGTCGAGCAACTCACGACAATGCACGTGGGAGGAACCAAGGGTGGTGGCCGTCGTCGCTCCAGTGGCGGCTTCCAGGCACTTGTAGCCAGTCTGCGTGGTTCTACCAATGCTTCTTCTGTCAAGGCTACGCAGGGCAAAAAGAAAAAGAAACGTGGCAGCATCTTTGGATTCTTGTTTGGTGGGAACAAAAAGATGCCAAAAGACAACGAGAGCGCCAAAGTTCCCGATTCGGCTCCAGCACCGGCAACGGCACCAGTGCAGCAAGCGCCAGTGCCAGCCCCTCCAATGCAAGAGCCAACCCCGCCGCCCGTACCTGCCCAAACTCCGGCTCCTGCAACCCCGCAACATCAAGATCAATCTACAGCAGCGCCATCAGCTGCGAAGGCTCAACCTTCGACGGCCAACAATCAGGCATCAAGCATCCCTAATACAGGGGATAATCCAGGTTCCTCCAGAGAAAGGTTCGCGAGCCTGGTTCAGAAATTCAACGGGGAGGAAAATACTGAACCCCCGACCGCTTCTTCTGAGTCAACACCAAAGGTCGAGTTGCGGGAGCAAGCCGAAGATAACAACACCACAAACAACAACAATGCGGTTGGTGCAGGAACCAGCGGCAATGACACCGACGACAATGCATCGGGACAGAGAAACACTGCTGCATCGCATGAGCCATCCCCCACTGCAGCTTCTACAGCCAAGCCAGAAATCTCACCCGGCAGCCGGGAGGAGCCCGCCACCAGCAAGACAGAAACGTCTAAACCGTCAAAGGGTCTTTTTGCTTCACTGTTTGGTGGCGAAAAACGGCGAAAACGAGGCCGCAAGGCTACGCCCACCGAAGAAAAGATGCTGGAACCGTTCCCAGACTTACGACAGGCTAATGTTGTGGAAAACACCACGACGGTAGAGGAGAAAACTGTCACGGACGAGGTAACCGGTGCAAGAAGAGTTGTGGCCACAACCACAACCACCACACTCCGACTTGTCAAGTAGCAAGATAATGGTCTGTGCACAAAAGCTCCATTTCTTCCCTCCCTCCCGCCTCCGTCCTCATTCGCTTTCCTCAGTAGAACCGTGCCGGCTGAATCTTTGTCGTGTTGTGGATGAAATTGATGGCTGGGAGTCCTTGAAGGGCTTCCACGTCATCTGTCTCATAGTATGCATACAAATAAATGGCTGCATATCAATATCCCACACCGTTCTGTGGCCTAAACTTTACTAGCAATAGTAGATATAAAATCTCCAGTCGAAGCAGAACTCTATGAGTTTATTAGCCGCAACAGCCATCGAATGCTAAACATGACTTCCTCCCATCACACGGGGGCCTTTAGACCGTGGTTCAGCACGCCGGTGTTAGCTAGCTAGCCAGACCTTCTTCCTCTTTGTTGCGTGTCGGATACCCACAAATGTCAACGATTGCCCCATAGATTCGTTCCACTGTTAGCAGAAGGTTGTCCTTCTTCCCGCGCTAGCTAGCTTCTCTTCAGGCTCTATCTCCTGTACCTGGTACCAGTACCTGGTGGTACCACTCACGTCTCCGGTCAGATGTCAAATGTCACGGTGGATATCTCGCTTTAAGCCAAGTGGGCTGCCAGACGCACAAGTTTCGATGTAAATTTTGAGGTCTGCCGTTGAGCTCCTCGTTTTTCGGTTCTTGCTCAAGTGGACAGTTTCCTCATTCTTTCCACCAATATGCCTCGACAGCCAACCCAAGCAAGCAGAATCAAGGGTAATGGCAGTAGCTCGTTATGGTCTAATACTGCCAAGACAGTGGTATTGATTGCTGCCTGTTTCATGGTAATGCAGGTGACAAAACTGAAACCATCCTACTCTCGCTCTGCTATGGTTGTCAACGGCACAGCTGCCAATCAAGAACAAGCAATACCTTTGTTTAAAAAACAGCTGGCTTGCAGCAAGCCAATCTTGAGTGCCACTTCCAACTTGTCTACCTTCATTGATGCTGTGTTTCATGGGCTCAACCAGGTTGTGGTGGGTCAAAGACCCATTGAGTACATTTCAGAACACTATGATACCCTCCAAGATACTATTCCCAATGGAAACTGGATTGAGTTTGGAGTCTACACAGGACACACTCTCAGAACAGCACACAGGAAGCTCAAGGCTTCCAAGAAGTTCAACGGCAAGCTTTTTGGATTTGATTCATTTGAAGGATTGCCATCTGATTGGCGGGGACCATATCAGGAAGGAGTCTTCAAGACTGACTATCACCAAGTTCGAGCCAACATGCCAGCAGAAATTTGCTTGTACAAGGGATGGTTTCAAGACACAATACCCACTTATATTCAACAACATCACCCCCAACAGCAGCCACTGGCATTTGTACACCATGATGGTGATCTATTTGTCAGTACAACCATTACCTTTCAATTGCTTGGAAGGCTGATACAACCAGGAACTTTGATGTGTTTTGATGAGCTTGTGGGGTACTCAGGATTTGACAAGCATGAGATTCTGGCATTGTATCTCTGGATGCACCAGTATCACGCCAAGTTATGCCCAGTGGCATTCCTTGAGGCATATCCAAAAGAGGCCCAATCAGGAGAACCAGAAATGGGAGGTATGAGCCAGAATGCTTGCTTTCAAGTTGTGAAAATGGATTAACATTGAGTATTGAGCTGGATTACTATTGGGATGATATGCAACCTTCTGCAACCCACAGAGTCTGGGGCAGACTCCAAGCCTCTGCCTCAGCTCCTCAGCACTCCAATGACTGGGTATTGGGTACATACCAATCTACATCCTACTCATCAACAACCTCAACGCAGGAAACCATGAACAATGGCTTGGATGCAGGATTTAGCCTACTAAGTCAGCGGGAGCTGCGATACCTCGGCAGAAAGACAGATAGAAAGAAGGAGGATCATGTTCGAGATTGCACCCATCTTTCAAGCCAGCCCTGGCGACAACACCCGACTACGTCGTGTGTTGCCGCCCAGTATCATTCATTCCCTCATTGCAACCTTCTTTATTTTAAAAGCTAGCCCTGGCGACAACACCCGACTACGTCGTGTGTTGCCGCCCGCTACTCTATAATTTACCAGCTGCCATTCCCTTATGTAATTGTATTCTTTGTAGCCCGCTAACCATAATTTACAGCTGTCATTCCCTTATGTAATTGTATTCTTTGTAGCTTCTGCAGGCTTATTGTGTTGAGTGCACTAACCTTGAATAATCATGATTTATTCCTACCCCTAAATTTGTAGAACCTTCAATTCGGCTTTTTTTCAGCGTTCGTCTCCTGTTTCCTCAGTTACATGCAATCAATCCAGCCATTGTAGCCAGTTACCGTAGAGTTACATCAATCGGCGACAGTGGCAACAGTACCGAACACACTCAGGTTCTGCTTTACTGGCTACACTCCGTTACCGGTACCTTGCATTGGATCCTTATGACGAATACATGCACAACCGAACATTGTTAATCCAGCCATCTTACTAGTAGCTAGCTACCGTAGAGTTCATCGATCGGTGACAGTGGCAACAGTACCGAACACACTCAGGTTCGACTTTGCTCGCTGCACTCGGTTACCTCGCATTGGATCCTTATGACGAATACATGCACAAAACCGAATATTGTTAATCCAGCCATTGTAGCCGGCTACCGTACAGTTATATCGATCCGTGACAGTGGCAACAGTACTGAACACACTCAGGTTCGGCTTTACTGGCTACACTCCGTTACCGGTACCTTGCATTGGATCCTTATGACGAATACATGCACAACCGAACATTGTCAATCCAGCCATCGTAGCCAGCTATCGTAGAGTTCATCGATCGGTGACAGTGGCAACAGTACTGAACACACTCAGGTTCGACTTTGCTCGCTGCACTCGGTTACCTCACATTGGATCCTTATGACGAATACACGCACAACCGAATATTGTCAATCCAGCCATTGTAGCCAGCTGCCGTATAGCTAGTGGCAACAGTACTTGACTTGCGCATACAGGAAAATGGGTACCGACACAGGAATCACCACCAAAACAGTAGGAAATAACAAGAAGGGATGAATCCGGTAGGAGGATCCACTCTCTTGTATGTTGTTGCGTTGCCTCCTCTTGTTGCCTTTCAATGACTTGACGACGTTTGTTCATGCTGTTGGTAGGGCTGGAGTTAACAGAGCCTCCTCCTCCGTAGCCTCACCTCTTCTTGTGCCGTTATCCGGAGCGATCGGCCGATCGTTTGTTCGAAAAGGACTCGACAATGGGATTTCCTCGGCAGTCAGGAGCGGCCCAAGAGAAAGTAAGAATAGCAGTGAGATTCTCTTCTCGATGGTTGCTCAAGAAAACCGGCGACTTACCATTGTTTTCGATTTTCTCCAACTTGGCCGTCATGGGCCGAGAACTGACTGCCATCCCATGGTCCATAGGATTCAATGAGGGATGGTTTTCCAATCTACACCGGAGACGACCGGCTTGAGTGAGGCTTGGATAACAGAGGTGCGACCAATCGATTCGATTCGAATAATTAAAACAACTCACCTGTTGATGGCCGAGCTTGGAATTCTCTCCTGAATACCATAGAAATCCAATGAGGGAGAGAAGTCAGCGCTGTACCTTCAATAACAGGCTTGATAATAGGGATAATAGGCTTACCTCATTGCGATCGATCGGCCGATTGGATAAAGAACTCCTCCTACCGGTATCCGGATAGGTATACCACTCTTGTCGGCCAAGCTTGGATTTCTCTCCTGTTTGCCATAGGAATTCAATGAGGGAGAGATGTCAGTGCTGGGCCTTCAATTATTGAACCATTCATCGTACCAGTTTATCCTTAACCTTAGTTCTATATCCACGAATCGAATCGAATCAATATAAATTTTTCGAAAGGGAACTTATTACTTAACGATACACATGACCGTTGATTCTGCAACTGAAGTGCGGCTACTCTTTTTCCCACAGTAAACGCCGGCAAATCGGTTCCAGAGTGCAACTGAGGGGGTAACCAAAAGGTGCGTCCAGGGCGTGGTACTCACACTGTTTTAGCATGTGAGTATGGGTACTGAGTAGTACTCACAATTCCAAAGTCAAGTGAGTATGGGTACTGGGTAATACTCACAATTCCCAGGGTCAAGTGAGTACGGGTATCATGTGAGTACATGTACTTTGTGGGTACTATAGAGTACTCACTGAGTACTCATAAATCAAATACTTAGGGAAATTATCTAGGTTTTTCTAGTTCTGGGCTGGGGGCTTATCAATCTTGTTGTAAAGGTCCACCATGGCATCAATATCATTGTCATAATCCTCCTCTTCACATCTGCTGGCAGTTAGCTTGAGGAGATCCTTGGTCCTATTCTTAGCCCATTCCTTTCTTGCATCATTGATGCATTGCTTGTAGTTCTGGATGAATGCACTGTTCTTGTAGCAAAGAAGGCGCATTTGGAATGTCATGTCAACCTTCTGTCCATTGCTGAGTTTTCCATCAAACCATGTACAAGAACTGAAAACTCTTTCTTGGAAGCCACAAAATACTCACCGAGTACTCACTGGTACTCACTTCGAAGTACTCACCGAAGTACTCACCGAAGACTCAAAAAGTACTCAAAATCCGGAGTCATGTGAGTACGGGTACTGAGTAATACTCACATTTTCTGAGGTCATGTGAGTATGGGTACTGAGTATACTCAGTACTCAGTACCCGTACTCACATCGAGTACACGCAGCGTGTATTTCATGTGAGTCCCACACCCTGGGTGCGTCGTCTCAGGAGACGTAATTTAAAAATTCTAGAACCGGTACTGAGTACCGCAGAGATAGAGATACAAACCCACCGGTCGCTGCATCCTTCCTGATTGAGTTCTTATTGTGATCTCCCAGGAATGTTCTTTGATGCCGAGTGATTTAACAAAACAACCAGAAACAGCCTTTTTCCGAAGCTACTAGGTCAGCTCTGGCTAGGTCGATGGAACTTGGTAACCTACAGGATTGCAACAGTGCACAGTGCACAGTGCACAGAAGCACATACAGTGACCAGTGAATGACCACGCGGCCGCAAGCTAGCTAATGAGTACAGCGCAGACACATGTACTGTAGCGCACCACTTGTACATTGTACAGTAGTACATGCACACACGTACACGCACGTACAAATGGTTCGTTTTCCTTGGCCCCAATCAACCGAGCGAGCAAGGCCATGATACTGGAAGGAAGGAAGCAACACCATCAACTTGCGACTGAGTACTGGATGGCATCAGTTTTCAATATTTTTTTTGTGCCATGCAGTGCGGTCATACCTTACCTACCGGTATCTGTGTTAGTGTGGCCTTCATTGCCATCACCACCTACCCACTACCCACTACTATTAATACCACCACCATGGCCATGCCAACGTCACGCTGCTTTTCTTTGATGAGAATGTTCTGGTTATTTGCAATGATGGTGACCGTGAGAGCTGCTGCCAATGAGGTCAACATGAACCACAACGACAGCTCTATTCCCGCAGGACCTGCGTTCACTTTGAATGCTCGCAAGATTTTCCTGGACGTCATGTCGGGAGGATCGTCGACTGTGGGATACCAAGGCCCACCTCAACCAACACTGGTTCTAGGCGCCGGTCTCCCTCGCACTGGCACTGCTAGTCTCCGAAAGGCGCTTTCAATGCTAGGTTTGAACTGTTACCACATGATGGTGGCTCATGAAACAGCCGGTCATCTGGAGATGTGGCGTCAACATCTTTCCTTACAAACAATCTCCGTGGATGAGGTCATGGACGGGTTGGCCATGGCTGGTTTCAACGCCACTATTGATGCTCCTTCGGCATTTCACTACAAGGAACAATTACGGCGATACCCCCAAGCCAAAGTCATCTTGACAGAACGCAGTGAGCAACAAGATCTTGCAGCAGAACATTGGGCTGAAAGCGTCAGCACTACCATCTTGCGCATTCCCTTGATTACACGAGAAGTTCCTTGGAGTTGGATGGGATTTGCCGTTCGATATGGACAGTTCCAAGATTCCATGTACGAAAGAGTCAAGCTACCCCATGAGATTGATGACTTTCCGCGCTTGCCAACGTTCTACAAGCAGTGGAATGCAGAAGTCAAAGATTCGGTTCCAAAGCAAAATCTACTAGTGTTTCGGGCACAGGACGGATGGAAACCACTCTGTGACTTTCTCTCTCCTGTAGCAGACATTGTGGAGAGCAACTGCCGAATCATCATGGCTGCTGGAGTGGAGTATCCATACGAAAATGACAAAACCAAGATTATCGCGTGCTCAGCTGTCTTCTTGACGATCACAAGGATTGTCAAGGCCATTCCGGCTGTGGCTGTACCGGTAGCGGTTGCCATTATTGCTATGTGGTTGCGATTATTAAAGCGGCAACGAATATCTCATGGTGTTTCGGAAAAGGGCAGGATCGAGTGATCTGAGAAACATACGCGGTAGATGGCCAAAGACCGCCAGACCCCCACTACATGTATGACTTTGGCGGTGCGCCTGACGACGGGGTGGGCTTGTGAAGAAGCACTGTTCTCTTCCAGTTTTGTTGCTTGCACTGTTCTCTTCAGATGTGATTGTTACTTTACATACATGTACCGTATAGGTGAACCAAATATATCTACTAGCTAAAATAACTTGAAAGAGAGACATTCTTAATAAGTTGCGTGTTCTCTCAGTACGCCCAACGTTGCCTCGAGCCTTCTAATCGCCTCCAACAGCCGCCCAACAAGCAACCCTGAAGCCTCACTGTAGCTAGTACAAAGTGTACAAAGCTTTGAAGCTGCCGAGACCCAACCGTGTACTATTCAAGCTCTGAAATTCCAGACTGTTGTGATCTAAACAAGTAGCGAGTCGCCAGGGTGGAGAGGACAAAAAAATGGACCCGCGACTGTTCGTGTACGCAATGGGTGGTCTATTGGAGGATCCGATATCATGATGGAACTCTGTCAGTGTGGAGAATAGGGAGAAATGATTCAACAGGCAAAGACACAGCTTTGATCGGTTTCTATGTATCTGATCTTGATCTGCAATCAATGTATGCATAGCAAGCCACTTGCTATTTAGCTAGTAGTACCAGTGGTCACCTTGCCAACCAGGGTACCAAAAGTGATGTGGGTGGGAAGAGAAAAAGGGTGCCAAACAGCCTTGCAACTTTGTTGCTAGATCAAGTGTGGGTCGAACAAATCCAACTCCCGCGGTTGGCATGCGCTTCAGGGTGAGAGGACAAAATTCTCGCGAGGAAACAGACAAATAGTTTCTTCCACAAACTTTCTACTTTCAAGCTCCTGGTCTAGGAAACAACATTCGGCTCTTCCCCGCCAGAGATTGCTTATTTCATCGAAGACGAAACAGTGGATGTTGACGGGACAGAAGAAAGCATAACACCGGATGACAAGGTCTCGTTTCCTTCAGTCGAAAGAAGGCCACCTAACAGCAAAAACATGCGGTTCCTACTTCCACTGTTTTGGCTCTCTGCAACGACGTCATCTTCTCCTGCCTCTTCCTCGGAGGTGATCAATCCTCACATCGAGGTGCAGGATGGGATGAGGAGGTCCGAAACTTCCAGTATACTCCGCGCGAGTTACAAGACACTTGCACCAAACTCGGCATTTTATCGTTGCCCTGCCCAGTTCCCTGTTTGGATATTGGGAGGACTTCATTGTAGCTGACACTAGCGACGCCTACCGTACACCTTACGAGGTCCAAGATAGAGACTTGACAATGTCAATCGCGCACTGGTGGCGGTGGTCGTCCCGCCTACCGGTATCACAGATCAAGCGACAGTGGTCGACATGGAAAAACTGAAACTGGAACCTGGGCTGCAGGACCTGGCCGGCAAGTACGTTCCAATCAGACAGCTCCAATGCCATTGTTGACGGTTCATGTGGCCCCAACATGACCTTGTATTATGAGCTCTCTTCATGGGTATACTTTGCCTATCCTCGCATTACTCCCATGGATTCGTCTTTTGTGGTGGTTACTAATGCCGCGATAGAGCTGTCATCCGAAATCCGACGCAGAACTGCGTGGGACCACTGTGTTGAATATCAAGTCCAACCCGAACGGGCCAACAGAAAACCGAGTGGAGACGAAACTTACAAAGTCATTCCCCAATTGGATTCTCCATGCCAACTCTTTGGAGGGATACACGGCACATCAATCCGATGGTAACGTCAAAACACGTGGACCAGAAATCGGCTCGGCAACTGCCAAAGTAGGCAGATGCTTTCCATCGGAAGCGGAGCAGTCGGAACCTCAACATGACGACACGACGAATGAGGGAGTCATGCCGTCGTCATCCTCCTCATCTTGTAGTACCGCTCCCTGCGAATGCCCCACACGTTGCACCAATGGCGAATGCGTCTCGGTTTACAGCAGCCACAATGGAAACTTGGGCAACACTAAAACGAATATGACAATCTTTATGTCAATGGCAACAATCACAACGTTAACACCAAAGTCAACAACAATAGTCACTGGGAACGTTATCAAACGTCCATACGATCGAACTATACCCAACACTGGTTGTGATTTGGACAAGAACTGCGATGGATATGTCAGTTACGAGGAGACTGCGGGGACTTGTCTGCCGGAATCATTGGCATGGATGGTGTTGCCGCCTTCTTTGCTTGGTAATGTTGTTTTGGCAACAAAGATGGTGCACAACACCGTGCACTTTCTTAAAGATTGCGTGAGGCTTTTGCAGTCCTTGCACCTTGTTCCCCTCCATATTGCTAGTCAATCGGCTTTTGTACGCGCCAATACGAAATCACCACGTCTCCAGCCCAATGGGGGTCTAGAGTAGAGAAGTGATCGACGGAACCCGTCCCAAGCAGCGTTTATGTTGCAAGCCTGCTTTTCTCCTGCGTTCATGGGCAAATTCGAGGAGTTTCCCGCACTGTCATGGTAGCTCAGGGTTCTCCCCGTTGAGAACCCACTTCAGGAATATGAATTCAACCTGGCTACCGTAGTAAGGCCACTGAAAGCAAATCATTATGGGGTAGCACATTCATGCGCATGACCGGACAGCACACATCTGCCAATGTCTGAACACACTACTGGTTGATCTACGTTTTGGAGGAAGCTATCCTTGAGCGAGGGAAGCTGTTTTGTTCTGTCCTTCATCTACAATGCTTATGGATACTGATGCAAGCATAGAAGAAAGAGGAATATTGATACTTCAGTGGCTGATTCCCTATTTCTATTTCTGCTACAAGAATAAAGCTATCATACCTGAACAAGTGGCCTGGAGGTTCATGACAATCAACCTGAGAACCACCCCCACTACACTTGTGTCATTCCATTTCATAGAATGACTGTAGAAAACCAAGCAGCCAGCCAGGTTGTGCAATCTTCCAATGGAACATCATCAATCATGTTCATGCTCCATACATGTAATTTGTCGTTGTTTTTTAGGACCGTTCACCCCGGATGCGGTGAGCAAGCTTGATGTCCTTGGGCATGATGGTGACACGCTTGCCATGGATGGCGCAAAGATTGGTATCCTCAAACAATCCAACAAGGTAGGCTTCGGCAGACTCCTGAAGAGCCAGAACCGATGATCCTTGGAATCTGTAAGAAACACAATGGAGAAGGCGTGCTGTGAGTTCGCTGATAGTGCCATGGTGGCAATCATTTCCAACCAAGGTTGGGTACTCACCGAAGATCAGACAAGAGTTCTTGTTCAATCTCACGAACAAGACGTTTGAAGGGAAGCTTGCGGATCAACAAGTCAGTACTCTTCTGGTAGCGACGGATCTCACGGAGGGCAACAGTTCCAGGGCGGTAACGGCGGGGCTTCTTGACGCCTCCTTGCTGAGGGGCACTCTTGCGGGCAGCCTTGGTGGCCAGCTGCTTGCGGGGAGCATTTCCTCCAGTGGACTTGCGGGCGGTTTGCTTGGTTCTGTGGGTTTGAGAGGGAAGGGAGAGAAGGAGGACGATAGTCAGGTTCAAGCACCCAAGAGCATTGGATACTGCCTCATGATGTTCAACACTGAACTCACCGTGCCATTGTTGCTTTTTGATAAGTTGAGGTACCAGAAGAGAAGGAGGTTGATGGAGACGAGAATTGCCTGGAAGCTGTTGCCTAGAGCAGATTGTGAGTCCAAGGCTTGTCAATTGAAGAGCTGTTAGGTTTGACAGAGCCACGGTGCTAGTAGGTAGTAGGAGTGTTTGAAAGAGAGACGTTGAACGTGGAGACGTCGGCCCCAGCTGTTGAAAATCGTCGTACGTAAAATCCTTGAAATCACTCCAACGTGGATTTCGTCTCGTCGGCAAACAACTGAAACTCCTCTTCGCTCGAATCGAATCAACTTCCGCTTGCTTGCTGTTAACAAAACCTCTAGTCCTCTTCAAGCGTTCCTCGATAGGGGTTTCCTGTCCACCACTCGCTCACGGTAGGGTTGATCGAAACGGCAAAGGGGCCTTTTTCAACTGAATTTCGAAAAATATGAAAATAATGTGAGCCCGTGTGAGCCGTGCGGACCCAACTGTATAGTACCGGTACTAGTAGTCTGAGCTAGCTATGCATAGTAATTTTGGTCTCGAGGATGCCGCGCCAATCACAGATTGAACTCAGAACTTGCATCCAACGATAATTTTAAAATCGCACAACGCATTCCACCATGGGCATCACGTTCTCTTTTTGTCTTCTTGATCAGGTTCAGTGACGACCATGTTGAATGTCATCATACACAACATGTTGGATTGAAATTGCGACCATGGGCGCCCGGGCTCTCATTTGGTTTATCTTTCAAAAGAGTGGCGCTGGATTGAAATTTGCGACCATGTTGATGCATGCAAGAACCACTGAGAGAGGGCAAACAGATGGGACCGGGACCGTCTCAACGGCCAAAGATACCTTACGAAGTACCAATTATTGAGTGGATCAGTAACACGCCATCTTCGGGCTGTGATGATGAAGATTCGATTCGCTACCGGTACACTGTACGGTATCGTGTGTATCGCGATATCGCGATCTGCCCGTTGTGTCGAGCAATGCCGGCACAGCTGCTGACATCCCCCGCCCCGCAAAAGCAACTTCCATCCAGTAGGTAGGTAGGTACACGTACTGGTGCAGTAGCGTTAGAGTTGACTTGGTTATTGGCGAGAAGGTGAATAAATCTTTCTAGTGTGAAGATTTAATGGGCACATGGCAGGCGTCTCCTTCAAATTGGAGCTTGTGGAAATTGGGTAGCATTGTGTTTGGTGATTGATGTGGTCCTTGTTTTGGTTGTGCTGTACATAAGCGACGAGTTGTGTTCCTACTATTACTACTAGCTAGCTATTAGAAGAAGAAGAAGAGTAGATCCGATGTCATCATCCTTCTCGTCAGGTGCATCGCCGGTGTTGGTGATTGGGTCTGGTTCTACAGTAGTTACTTGGGATTGTCGAGACGAATTATCGTCTTCCGAAGAGGGACGCCGCTTCTATCGACCCTTCTCGCCCCCCAACAATGACACTACTACCAGTGCTAGTACCGGTAGTATGGCTAGGATATCTGATCTGGCTTGGAATCACAATGGACAAGGTGAGAGACGGTCTACTTCTCAAGTTATGCTATCGTATGGTACCGTACCGAAGCCCTCACTTAAGGTGTTTCTTTTGTGTCATTTTTTGGCTCCTTTGTTCCAGTTCTGGCATGCTGCTCTACCGCGACCGCTCTGGAAGATCCAATACGCAAAAACATTGTTCTACTGTCATCCAGTACAGGTTCCATGCTGGATTCCTTTCGTCACACAGACTCGTCCAGCGATCCTACCAAAGGACATCAAAACCGACGTGCTGGAACAGGACCTGCTGCTACCTGTGTCGCCTTTGGTGGAAAATCGAGATATCTATGCATTGGGGATCAACAGGGAGATGTCTGCTTGTGGGACCTAAAAAAACAAAGCCGTGTCAGACAATTCAAATCTAAAAGACGACATCCATGCCTACAAGCTTGTCTAGATCCTACTGCTACCTACGTTTGTGCTCTCTCGGCTGAAACATTCACTCTTTTCCATCTGCGACAAGCAACATTTGCTAAACAATGGACGTTTGGAGGTACCCACCACAACAATAGCAACAACAGTACAAAGGGTGGATGGAATCAGTTCCGATTCTCACCACTTCAGCCAAGCTTAATGGCTTTGGGGGATACCACTGGGAGAATTCAACTCCATGACGGACTCGAATATGAACAACCACAGCTAGTCTGTGGAGGAGGACACACCAGTCATCTTGCAACATCAACCTCTCTATTGCCTCATCATGCTAGCCCCATCACTGGATTGGCATTTTCTACACAAAACTCAAAACTACTCGCAAACGTTAGAGCCAATGGCATCCTAGAGTTCGTCGACACTAGCACTGGAGAAGTCATTCATCATCAACAGACTGGTGGCAACGCAAGCGCTCTGGCATTTCAGGGAGTCTCCTGTGTCGTCGGCACAGAAACCGGTGAAGTTCAAGTATACGATTTACGCAAAATGATGCAACAATTTGGAAAGGCCGTCACCACTCATAAGATGCAAGGTGGCCAGCCCATTAAGACTCTCGAGTTTGCACCCATTCCCAAAAACAATGGTTGGAGTACCACCAGCACAAGCAATTCTAGTGCTTCCAACAATAGTACTGCAGTGGGCGTGGCTGGAAGGTCCCGATCACCACCGTCCCGTCGACCCAGTGGAGGTGCAGTCAGTCTCGGATTAGGAAATGCCATCTCCTTTGATTTGGAATCAAGAGCTAGTATGACTTCGTCGACGTCCTATGCCGACCCGGTCCCCTCCATTGTGGCCAATTCTTCCGGATTGACCACTGCCACTGATGCTTCCAATATGGTCGTTCGTTCCGGTAACACAGCAACGCTTCTCGGCGATGCACCGGCCGTGGTAACAGTCGAAGATCGCAAACCGGCTGCCACGGAGGCTCCTTCCCATAACAGCAGCATCAACAACAACAATAATACCGGCGGCATGACAGCCGTCAAACCAAATCACCAATCATTGTCCGTGCATGTATCATCCATGCGAATGGCGTCGTCGCAGTCCACAGAAGAGCTCACTGCTTCGCCCGCTGCCAATTCGAACCGCAGTGGTGGCAACCCCTCCACCTTTCACGCCAATGCCAATGCGGCTGGCTCGAGCGACAAGTATCAAGGGGCCCCAAACACTGCCAATGCTGCCCCACAACCCATGGCGGCAAATACCCCTACAACCAAGTCACGGTCAAACGAACTACCCACTCGTACGACTGCTTCGAATTCTAGCAGTATCGGGAGCGACAGATTGCTATCGCAAAAGACCACCCCTACGTCGCAAATGTCGGCAACGTCCAGTGCTGCTGCTAGCGGAGGTAGGTCTGGCATCTCGAATCAACAAGAACAAAAGGCTGCTGCAAAGAATGGACACGATAGAGGCAGCAGCGGCTATACTCGAGTCAACCGACAGTACCAAAACGACAATGCCAGCAACACTGCCGCTGGTGCTGGTTACACTGGTCCTCATGGTAGCCCAACCAGTCGCAGTTACCGTGGCAGCAACAATAATCACAATGCTACGGAACCACTTTCTTCATCCAGTAGTACCAGCAGCGTTAGCAACAACAAGCATTTTCATCCAACCTCCGAAATGGCCACCTTCCTGCAAAGCATGATGCGACAAGAACTGCAATATCACATGTTTAGTCTGCAGGAAGACATGGAAACATCCATTCGCAATCTGCACGTGGACATGATTCGTCAATTTCAACGTCAATCACAAGAAATGACGTCCGTCTTACGACAGCAGCAACATCAGATCGACCAGCTGATGCAAGAAAATGAATTTCTGAGGAATCAAAATGGAGCCTTGCAACGACAGCAACAACGCAAGAATGGATACAACCTTCCTTAAAACAGCGTCGCTGATCTTTACTCAGAAAAAGAGATCCGTAGTCTTCGTCGACACCATCATTGTCGTCCATTTGCACTGTCCAGTAATGCTCACTTAGATTTGTCTCAAGCCTTGCTATCATTGGATCCTTCATTGTTGCGGATACTCTTCATCTATGGGCGTTCCTCCTTTGTAGACGTAACACACCCAAGAAGATGGGAGGTATTGCTTGCTGAGCTACGGGAGCATCCATGATTGAATCATTCCAACTCCAACGGACCAAAACTCTTCTCTATTGACAATTTCTTCCTGGCTCCTAGCCAACCTTTTTCATGAACCAAATGGTGAGGCCTTCATTTGTCTCGGGAAGGAATCTGGCACAGTAATTCCCCTGCACTCGTACGTTCTACCGCTACTGTATCGGAGCCAGCTATTAATACACCCAAATTGTTTACCCAGGACTTTACTTCATAAACGCAAGATTGTTCCAAGTTCCAGTGCACAATCGGGAGATAGCTGCTTGAGGTGACCGGCTTGTAGGTCATTCCGGTAGGAGAGGAACCATGCTTTCAGCACCCTTTTTATTTGGGACGAGAAACCTCATTACAACAGCATGTGGAACCGTTGTGAGCGACAATCAGCCGACAAGTCACGGATCCCCTTTAACCAGAATTTCCAATTAGCTGATAAAGCTCCTCCTCAGTTCCAAAAAAACAAACTTCCAGAGCCCAGCCCTGCTCAACCGATATGGTGGCGTGGTGCCTTCATCCCACTGGCTCCATTCTTGTGAACTCAACCTTTTCCGTGCTAGTCAGCCACAAGTGCGCTATTCAAGACCATCCCTGGGATATCTAGCTGTATCTATAGTTACCCAGGGCCAACCAAAGTACCCCCACCAGAACTCTAGGCCTTGAAGGAATCTATCGTTGGGGGAAAGCATCAACACGGGGGTTTAGAGTTGGTACTCGTAGATTATCTATGGAAGCGAGCTGTTTTGTTGTCTTGATCTACAAACCTTACTCAATAACAGTAATGATGTATGCAAACAAGCAAGATTTCAAATGGCAATGTGATACTGTTTTTTAAATTTCATTACAAAGAATGCTACCTGCAAGTAGCCATGGCACAAATGGTTCCCCAATAAAGATGACCCACAACCTGCAAATTCCCCCAGCCAACCTGAGACACTTGGTGTGTCATTGAATTCAAATTGTGGTAGAATGGGCTGTCAAAATCCAAATAGACAGCCTCGTTGCCGTCTTCCCAAGCAACATCAATCATCCATCTTCACCGTTCTCCAAAGTCAGTTTGTTGTCGGTTTTTAGGTGCGCTCACCGCGGATGCGGCGGGCCAGCTGGATATCCTTGGGCATGATCGTGACACGCTTGGCATGGATGGCACAAAGGTTGGTATCTTCAAACAATCCAACCAAGTAGGCTTCAGCAGCCTCCTGAAGAGCCAGAACCGCCGATCCTTGGAATCTGTAAGAAACACAATGGAGAAGGTGTGCTGTGAGTTCGCTGATAGTGCTAGCAATCATTTCCAACCAAACAAGGTATGGTACTCACCGAAGATCATTCTTGTAATCTTGGGCAATCTCACGCACAAGACGTTGGAAGGGAAGCTTGCGGATGAGGAGGTCGGTGCTCTTTTGGTAGCGACGGATCTCGCGGAGAGCAACAGTTCCAGGGCGGTAACGGTGGGGCTTCTTGACACCTCCAGTGGCAGGGGCGCTCTTGCGGGCAGCTTTGGTGGCCAGCTGCTTGCGGGGAGCCTTTCCTCCAGTGGACTTGCGGGCGGTTTGCTTGGTTCTGTGGGTTCAAGAGGGGAAGGGAGAGAAGGAAGACGATAGTCAGGTTCAAGCACCCAAGAGCATGGATACTGCCTCAGGATGGTCAACACTGAACTCACCGGGCCATTGTTGAGGAGACAAGAACAGAAGGTTGATGCAGACAAGAATTTGCTTTGAAGCTTTTGTTGAGCGAAGATTATGAGGATTGGGAATTGGGAGCACCGAGAAGAGTGATGGCAAGTACAGCGGTATGCATACGAGTACGGTAGAAGCATTCGTTTTGAAAGAGTGAAGCCATCAATTTGGTTCAATTTGCGCGCCATAAACCAACGAATACATGGGGCTCGGCAACGGCTACACTTTGTAGTTGAGTGGTTCCAATAATTGTACCGGTACGGTAGTAGCACATATGGATGCTGGTCCATGTAGCACGCCTCTCGGCGGGGAATTCAAAGGAATAAAAAATTGTTGGGCTTCGGGCTTTGCAGTTGTTAACGGCTATTTCTGGCCAGCTCTCTCTCGCACAAGACTAAGTAAGTATCATACTGTACCAAACCGGTCAAAAAATCGAAATTTGCGGCCCAAGAAAAGCCAGTAGGGCTGTAATAGAATTCTAATTTTAAGTAAAACACTAGCTACGTAGCTTTCTAAAGTGGTTCAAGGCTACAACACTGAGTGTCAACACCGGTACCGGTACTAGCTAGCTAGTACCGGTAGCAGCTCCGGTACCGGTAGCTCTGTTTGCTGAGCAGTGCAAAGAGCCGCAAACTCGATAGAATCAACCATTCCACTTTGGACGAAAAGGCAATCAACCAATTATTTCATAAGTCTTATGATTATCTATTCACGGTATCTATAGCTTTCCCTCATTCCTCGGTAAACAGACACTGCGCACTTCAGATGGGAGCAAGTTGGGCGAGTAATAAGACCGGCAAGAGCACACCAATGAAATCCTGTCATTGATTGCTCATCCTGAAAAAGCCTTGTCTGTTGACCACCGTAGACTGTTATGAGCAGAGTGCACAATGATCTTTAACGTGATCAAAGGTCTCGAAGGCTGCAGATTGTTCTTCTTTTTCCGTTTCAAGCAAGAATCGAAACTGGGCCACGTGTGTTACCAATCGCCTCAGGCAAATACCCGCCGAGTTCAGAGTTGGAAGGTCTCCGCCGAGCAAGAGCCTGACTTCCTTCTCCGCAGCATTGGAAGCCTTCTCATATTCTTTACGAGAGATATGCGACGACAAGTCGGCCAAGAGTGGTCGCATCCGATCATGCATTGCCAATCGACACAGCTCCCGTATTGCTAGTCTTGACCGGACAAACTTTTGGATGACTCCCACAGCATGCCTGCGACGCAGGAAGCGTTTCCGTGCCATGCCCATTCGAACCATAGACTGTAGCACTTTAGCTTCGTCTTGGAGCAGAGAGAAAATGGCCCTTCCAACAAACCCTCTCCAGACTCGTTGTATAGTTACCACCGCTTGTAGCCTGTTGGCCAGAATATCTTCGTTGGATACCAAATACTGCCGAAACTTGCTTTGGATTAGTTTGACCGATTCTCGCCGGGCCCTCAGCATGGACAACCCTCGTTCCAACCGGAGTTTGGTAACCATGACACACATGTTGCGGTGAATAGTTGCTATAGCCACTCTCCTGGTATTGACTTTAGCTTTAGCAGACAACACTCTTGCCAGGCATTGAATCCTGATAGCTGCTTCTCGCATAGCCAAAAACAGGCCCTTCGCAAAGAAACACCTAACAGCCTTTTGGATTCGAAGAGAAGCCAACTTACTGTGCTTGAGAGCCCCATTTCGTTGAACAAGGTATCCTCTGATCCAACTCTGAATCAAAATGCAGGCATCATTGGCAATCATACCCATGACCAATGATCGAGCATCAAACCCTCTCCATGCACTCTGAATTGCAATAGCCGACCTTTGCTTTACTGCAATCTCCTTCAGCACAAGATGGCGCCTTGCCAGGCTTTGGAATAGTACAAAAGCGCGGGCTGTAGCACGAACCCTGGCCAAGCCAAGTTTTAGCTTTAACCGGACAAACATAGACTTCAGATTGCACTGAATGATGGCCACAGCTTGTTGCCTACTCATGGCAGCTTCAACTGCCAAGGACTTTCGAGCCAGAGATTGGATCTGAATGACGCTCTTCCTCCTCGAATCTGCCAGAGCCACTGCCAAGCATTTCCGGGCCCAGGTCTGGATGGCAACAACACTCTCCTTCCTGGCTTCTGCAAGTAAAATTGCTAGATATCTCCTGACCATATTTTGGATTGGTACAATTGTCTTGGTTTTCTTGAGAACCCCATTTCGTTGAGCAAGGTATCCTCTGATCCAACTCTGAATCAAAATGCAGGCATCATTGGCAATCATACCCATGACCAATGACCGAGCATCAAACCCCCTCCATGCACTCTGTATTGCAATAGCCGACCTTTGCTTTACTGCAATCTCCTTCAGCACAAGCTGGCGTCTTGCTAGGCTTTGAAATAGGACCAAAGCACGGGCTGTAACAAGAATCTTCTTTATGTGCAACCTCAGCTTCAATCGAACAATCCATGACTTTAGATTCCGCTGAATGGTGGCTACAGCTTGTTGCCGAGTCATGGCACCCTCCACTGCCAACAATCCACGAATCCATGACTGAATCTGGATGATTCTTCTCCTCCTTGAATCTGCTAGAGCAACAGCTGAATACCTTTTTGCCAAGGACTGGATTTTGGTGGCACTCTTCCTCCTTGAATAGGCCAGAGCCCTGGCTAAACAACATCGGGCCCAGGTTTGGATGATGACGAGGCTCCTCTTCCTGGATTCTGTCAAACAGGCTGCCAGATATCTCCTGGCAAAGGCTTGGATCTTGATGATGCTCTTTTGCATAGCATCTGCTAGAGCAATGGCAGAAGATCTTCGTACCAAAGACTGGAGAACCATCGCGCAACGGAACTGACAGAGAACCTGATTCCTGGCAAGCCACCTTCGAACATTGGCTTGGATAAGACGGGCAGCTTTTTTCCCTACTAGAAGCTGGCCTTCCCGCCGGACCATGTACCCTCTAACTTGACTTTGGATCCTCAATGCACATATGATAACGTAGTAATACGCTCTCCTAGCATCGTAGGACCGCCAGAGATTCTGAAGCCTGACCAGTGCAAACAAAGCTTCTTTTTGGTGTTTTCGCTTCATCTCCATGCAGGCTCTCCACCAGCATTGCAATGCTACAGCGGCGACTTGCCGCCTTCGAAGATCACGTCGGATTCGGTGGCCTCGAAACATACTTTGAATTCGACGAGGCAGGATCTGATTTTCCAAGTGCAACCTGCCATCGGTTGATGATTGGTCATGGAGCTCGTTTCGCAATAAGATGTGTCTGCCAAAGCGCAGAAGCACAACCAAGGCTCTCTGTATGTTTTGATACCGAACGCGGTGCGAGTGTGTTCGCCATGTGCTTTGGACTACAACTGCAGCGGATGCTTCATGCCGCAGCTTGACCCTCAACAGCCACCCTCGAATCGAGGATTCCAACAGGACAATTGATCCCTGCACTAGCCTCCTTCGGTTCCTGACGCTGAATCCTTTCGTGACTCGTTGGATCATCAATGCAGCTTGTCTGGAAGCAGAAAGTCGTCGTTGTTGAGACCACATCCTAAAAGCCGATTGCACAACGATTGCAGCAATGACATTCCGTCGGACCAACGAGCGACCAAGGAAGATACGAACTGGTTTCTGAATAGCTGTCGCGGACCGAATCCTGCGCTTCGCCCATTCTGACCAAGCCTTTTGTATTATCACTGAAGCTGAAGCCTCGCGACAAGCTTGACGCCTCTTCAAAGAATACCGCCGCAAGCAGGCTTGAATAGATGCAACAGCCTTCCTTCGTTGGTCAGCCGCCCTTCTTGCTAAGAACGCCCTAATAGCAGATTGGACAATGATGGCTTTTCGTTTCACGAAAACTCGGGCACGCAGGTATGTCCATGATCTCCACCGCTTCTGGATTTGAGCAGCAGCGGCATTTCGAAGGCGTTTCCGTCGGCCAAGTCCAATCCAATTTCTCTCACACCGATGGATTGCGAGTAAAGCCGACCGTTGCTGCACGAATGCTAGATTGCTCTTCCTGCTGCGATAGGCTTTCTGCATCAAGACCACCGCAATGCGCACTTGTTCGTAGCTGCGCCTATCTAACATTCCACGGGCTAGCCTTTGGATATGAACAACGCCATTCCGGGCGCCGAGGAAGTAGAATCGAGCTCGTGACATTCTGATTGTAGCCTGGATGGTTGTCGCCGACACCTTCATGCATTGGTAGTGTCGTCGAGCTATTCGACACCTATAATGACTTTGTAGCACTGTCACATGAAACCGAGACGCAAGACGGCTCTTCCTTCGAAGAACGTCTCTCCACCAGCTTTGCATCATCGTGGCTGCGTATATCGAGCAGCATAGATGCCGCCTGGCAAGAAAGCCTCTAAAGACGGATTGAATCATCAACGCACTAATCTTCTTTGTGGAAAGGATGATCCTGGCAACCCGGCCCCGAAAGACTGATTGGATCTTTAATGAAGCCATCTTATTCTTGAGAAGGATTTGCCTGGCAAGAAATCCTCTAAAGAACATTTGGATCTTCAGTGCACAAGTATTCTGCTTGAAAAGGATTTGTCTGGTGAGGAACCCTCTGGAGACAGATTGCACCTTCAATACACCAATATTCTTCCTCGAAAGGATCTCACTTTCAACCAGGCCACGAAGCTTGACAAACTTCCGACGCGCTACAATTGCTCTACCATTCGCTTGAATCAACACGACAGCTGATTGCTGCTTTTCGTCGTGTAGTTTACGTCGCTCGTTCGTCACACCCCGTGCAAGATGGCCTCGCCATAACCTTTGGATTCTTCGAGTGTTTTGCAATAGAGATATGTACTTTTTCTTTGCGCGATGGCCACGGAAGACAGCCTGAATGGTCAAAGTTTGGCTTCGAGCAAAAGAAAACGTTTGCCCCGCTTGAAACCTTCTCCACCCAGCCTGCATCACCACTGCTGCATGTGCTTGGTTCATCGTCAGAGAGCTTTGCGTCTCGCTCCCCCGATCAACAGCTAGAAGGCTTTGGCGGTTCAACCTGACCAGCCAGCCACGAACAAGAGACTGCAGCGTGACAATCCTTATCCTTGCCAAGCAGTAAGAACGTTGAGACTGAAGTCCGCGCCACAACCGTTGAACGTGGCGAGCGGCAACATTCATACGCGAGTACCTAACTCGATTCATTTTGCTCCTCCAGAAGCACTGAATCGAAACGGCCGCCGCCCTTGATTGCGGGAACAACCTTCTTGACGCCCTCTTTCGTTGGAGACTTTGAAGCACAATGGCACCTCTTTGTAAATGCTTGAAGCGAGCACGAGGAACAACCATTCTCGCGTATGATTGGATACGGAGAATACTCTTTCGAAGCCCCAAGTATTTACGTCTTGCAATCGATCGACGGACATTGCGCTGACAAAGTACAATGGAATGGCGATTTCTCCCTTCTTGTCCATCAGTGATCGAAGGAATTCGACGCTGCTGCCACCACCGCTGAATGATCACTGCGGCGTCAATCAGTTCACGACGAGACCGCCATGCACGTTGAATGTTTGAAGCCCGTCGAGAAAGCATCTCTAGTTGAGACCTCGACCGGAACCCCCTGTAATGAGCCTGAATGACGGTCACTGACGTGATAGCGGTGGCCAGTACAGATTTTGCAGCGTAAACTCTCCAAAACGTTTGAAGCTTGTTGGCTGATGTCGAATATTCTCGAAATCTGGAGACTGCCAGCGATTTTCGGAACATGGCTTGCAAACGACTCGCCGATGACTTGGCTCGGAGAAATTGAGTGACAGCAACATGACACCTTGCAATCGCCTGAATCATCAAAACCGAACTACGGACTTCCCGATACCGCCTTGAAGCCAAAGAACGACGAATCGCTGTTTGGATTAACACGGCTGTAGACACAAACGCGTGGAATTCCTTTTGGGCCAAGACCATCCTCTCCACGGATTGCAACTTGATGCACCCGGTTCTTATTTTGCGGAAAACATTCCGATGGATCCAGCGCCTCCATTGGCGTTGTAGTAGGAGGGCCGCATACCTTGACAGTGAAAATCGCTTAGATTCCAAGTGGCATCGAACCAAGGATTGTATCATCATGGCAGCAATTCGTGTCTCCGTGTACAGCTGCCGAGTCAATACCCCCCTCGCCAGCTTTTGGATGCTACACATGGAGTTTCTGACCCGTTTGAATCGCTGACGACATAAATACAATTGAACGGTGGTCTGCAATAGTCTTGCAGCATCCTCTTTCCCGTGAACCGCAGCCAGAAGTTGTTTTTTGCGCCAACCACGTTGGATACTGTGTGCGGCTTCTGACTTCAATCTATGGCTCTTCAGTACAAGAATGCGTCGACAAAAGGCCTGGATCTTCACAGATGCGCAGACGTGACGAACAAAAGATTCGCGGGCTTGCGATCCACGCCAATATGCTTGAACTCTGACCGATAGTTTTTCAACCTCAGTCTTGTGACGACGGCAGCGATATTGTTGAAAACAACGCTGCATCAAGGTAGCCGCCTTCCGTTTACGCAAGTACAAATCGCGGGCTCTTTTCTTCCTGCAAAAGGCTTGTAGCTGAAGAGCCGATCTTGTCATTATTGAGTATTGCTGGCGCACGATGCTTCCTCTGGTGATAGCCTGGAGCCTGGCAAAAGAACGACAATGCATCTGGAACAGTATCATTGCCATTCGCTGTCGCCAAAAAGATTGTAAAGCAATTGCCGAGGATCGCTTCAATCGGAACCGCTCGTGACACTCTTTACGCCGACTTCTCGCTTGTAGCACTACAACGGACCTTCGCATGGTTTTGAAACGCGAAGACAGAATGAAACTTCTCCACACGCTCTGGAGACGAATGGCCGATGACGTCCTTTGCCAGTTTTCCAGACGTACAGAGTAGCCCCGATACAAGCGCTGGACACCGACCACAGCTTTGTTACACTGCGTCTGTTCCAGACTTTCCATTTGAAGCCGTCTGCACATGGCAACGGTCAGATATCCCCTTGCCAGCGATTGAATCTTTACGCAGGATCCAAGTTTCTTCTCAAAGGCAAACTTTGCCACCCATCGACGGTAATACCGCTGAACTAAGGCTGCAGCGGTTCTGCGGATACGGATCTGACGTCGAGCGCTGCCTCCACGGAACATGCGCTGTAACTGACAGGCGGCTTTCTCATGACGTACGTGCCTTTCCCTCTCGCTTTTCAACGATTTGAGAGCCGAAACCGAGCGAATTCTACGCTCCCAGGACTGCAAGATAACAATGGATCTGCGTTGTTTGTTGTATTGTAGACGAGTTCCACAGCTCCTCATCCAGGACTGCAGCAGCAGGGCAGAAGCGATGTGCTTTTTGTATCGTCGCAGCTGAAACAACAGGCGCACGGAAGCTTGAACCCTCGCGGCTGCATTCCGTTGTACCACAATGCGTCGCTCTTTGAAACGGTGAAGAGCAATCTCTCGCCGGCTACAAGACTGCAATACAACACAACTCGATCGCATCTTCCAATAGTTCATCCTGGTAGTGTGTCCGCGCCATGCAGCCTGTATCATAGAGGCCAAAACCCTAGACTTTGTCAGCATAGCTCGGGAAGAGCATCCACGCCATGTCGTCTGAAGAGTTGTCGCAGCACAAGCAACATGAAATCGTCTTTCTGCTTCAGCCACTTCTCTACGTGCTTGAACCAATCGGATGAGCTGAAGTTGTGCCAGTAGCCCTCGAATTGCTGATTGTAATACAATACAAGCAGCCAGCTGCCTGCTATATTGCGTTTTGGCCCAGGCAACCCTCCAAACAGATTGAATGGACACAGCTGAATGATTCCATTGGACCAGCTGTCTTCGACCCAAACATCCACGAAGGTTTGACTGGATCTGAACTGCAGCCTTATGCTTCTTTCTCAGTTCCTTCACAGACGCAATTGCATTATGGCGACGTGCACAACACTGCAGGCGAAGCAGTGACCACCGCTGAAGCTTGTAGGCTTGCTGTGCTCTCGCTCTCCTCCAAAAGGATTGAATCACAATCATGGAGGCCCACTGGCTCTTGTAATGCTTCTGCAAAATCCAACTTCTGAAGGCTGACTGAATACCAACTGCAGATGCCACCTGATGCTGATACTGCCTGTGTATCAAGTAGCCACGGAATGTTGCTTGAATCCCTGCTGAGGCTCTGTATTCTTCTTGAACTTGTTGAAGTTCTAAAACAGCTGCACACCTTCTTGCCCATGACTGAAGCTTCACCACACAATGAAGTTGCCACTTGTAAGCTTGACACAAGAGCTTACCCCTCCAGAATGCTTGGATCAATATTGTGGCTCTCTGTGCCTTCATGTAGTGTCCTCGTGCTAAAAATCTCCGAAAGGCTGACTGTACGAGAGTAGCACTGTTGATGTGCCAGAGTAAATGCCCTTGGGTTCGGTGGAAGAGCTTTGCCTGCAGCATTCGCCTGTGCTGAAGAAGAATGCTTCCCAGCAAACACTGCCTTCGCCGATAATGAGCTTGTAGCCTGACAATACACCTCACATGGTGCTTCCACCTCAGTGTTTCATATTGCTTGGCAGCAGCATGTCTTCGAACACATGACTGCAACAGTATGGTGCACTCCAGCTGTAATCTGTAGGCTTGCTGTGCTCTCAATCTCCTCCAAAAGGCTTGAATCACAATCACTGACCCCCACTGGCTCTTGTATTGCTTCTGCAAAATCCAACCTCTGAAGGCTGACTGAATACCAACTGCAGATGCCACCTGATGCTGATACTGCCTGTGTATCAAGTAGCCACGGAATGTTGCTTGAATCACTACTGAGGCTCTGTATTCTTCTTGAACTTGTTGAAGTTCCAAAACAGCTGCACACCTTCTTGCCCATGACTGAAGCTTCACCACACAATGAAGTTGCCACTTGTAAGCTTGACACAAGAGCTTACCCCTCCAGAATGCTTGGATCAATATTGTTGCTCTCTGTGCCTTCATGTAGTGTCCTCGTGCTAAAAATCTCCGAAAGGCTGACTGTACGAGAGTAGCACTGTTGATGTGCCAGAGTAAATGCCCTTGGGTTCGGTGTAAGAGCTTTGCCTGCAGCATTCGCCTGTGCTGAAGAAGAATGCTTCCCAGCAAACACTGCCTTCGCCGATAATGAGCTTGTAGCCTGACAATACACCTCACATGGTGCTTCCACCTCAGTGTTTCATATTGCTTGGCAGCAGCATGTCTTCGAACACATGACTGCAACAGTATGGTGCACTGCAGCTGTAATCTGTAGGCTTTCTGTGCTGTCCATCTCCTCCAAAAAGCTTGAATCACAATCACTGACCCCCACTGGCTCTTGTATTGCTTCTGCAAAATCCAACCTCTGAAGGCTGACTGAATACCAACTGCAGAGGCCACCTGATGCTGATACTGCCTGTGTATCAAGTAGCCACGGAATGTTGCTTGAATCACTACTGAGGCTCTGTATTCTTCTTGAACTTGTTGAAGTTCCAAAACAGCTGCACACCTTCTTGCCCATGACTGAAGCTTCACCACACAATGAAGTTGCCACTTGTAAGCTTGACACAAGAGCTTACCCCTCCAGAATGCTTGGATCAATATTGTTGCTCTCTGTGCCTTCTTGTAGTGTCCTCGTGCTAAAAATCTCCGAAAGGCTGACTGTACGAGAGTAGCACTGTTGATGTGCCAGAGTAAATGCCCTTGGGTTCGGTGGAAGAGCTTTGGCTGCAGCATTCGCCTGTGCTGAAGAAGAATGCTTCCCAGCAAACACTGCCTTCGCCGAAAATGAGCTTGCAGCCTAATGATACACCTCACTTGGTGCTTCCACCTCAGTGTTTCATATTGCTTGACAGCAGCATGTTTTCTTGCAAATGACTGCAGCTTGATGGCACATGCTTGTTTCATTTTGAACAATCTGGTCTCCCTGACACTTCTCCAGCAGGCCTGCAGAGAAACTGTGGCCCCTTGTTTCCTTTGGTATTCCCCGAAGACAATCCATCCTCGTACATTGGTCTGAATGGTAACTGCGCATGTAATAAACCGTTTCCACTGGTGCTGCAGGAGAAATCGTCGGATGCTGGACTGAATCATAATTGTTGCCATGTGTTGCTTCTGAAGGTGCTGAAGTTCGAAAACAGCTGCACACATCCTACCCCATGCCTGCAGCTGCAGAACTCTTTGCTTCTGGACTTTGTAGAGTTGAGACAAACTTAACTTCCTCCAAAAGGTCTGCAGCAAAATTGTGGCTCTCTGGTGCTTTTTGAAGCTCCGTCTAGCCACATATGTTCGCGAATATGACTGGATGACTGTTGCACACTGATTGGCCCACACCAGTTGTGCCTGGACTTGCTGCAGAAGCTGAGGTTGATATTTCCGTCGATGTTGCAAAAGTGTGTAAACCAGTAGACATTTTCGTCGGCGAAAGTGGGCTTGAAGCCGAACAATGCACCGGACATGATTTGCCCACTTCAATTGCTGAACTTTCCGAGCAGCAGAGTGCCTTCGTACGCAAGCCTGTAGAAGGACAAGATACTTCTTTTGTATCTTGTAGCTTCGAAGACAAGTGGCGCCCCTCCAAAGAGTCTGGATGAAAGTGGCAGCTTCCCTTATGTTGTTGTATCTCCTCCTTGCTAGACGTCGCCTGAGGCCTGACTGAATGATAGTTGCGCCGTGGTTAACCCAAAGCAGTTCGCCTGCAATCTGGTGGAGTAGACGGCTCCGTTCCTGTCTATGCCTAAGGAGTAAATGCACGAGCAAGAATTGTCGCCGGCGGAAGTGTGATTGGAACTTTATGACACCTCGCATCGTTGCTCTGTGCTTGGCTACCTGGTGTTGAACGGTGCGGCGTCTAGCGTGAGCTTGTAAAAGCACCAGGACTCGTCTCCCGTCCCGCTGACGACTAGCCTTCCTGTGACCTGCACGACGTCTGCAATGTGTCTGTAGAGCGATGACAGCTAGCTCTCCCTTCTGTAGTTCCCTAGTGGTCTTGAACCGCCGCCAGTGTGATTGGATAAGTGTAGATGCCATTTTCCGTTCTTGCTGTCGTTCACGTACAAATTGCGCACGCGCTCTGGCTTGTAGTCTAGCGAGCCCCAAGAAGATCCCCTTCCTCCATTGTCGGGCATTGCGACGAGAACAGTATGCAGACCACGTTCTTTGGATTCGAAGAATCGAAGCTATCACAACCATCATGTGCCGCCGAGCATCGCGGCGTCTGGAATACGCCAAGTACTTCCTCTGAATCGTACAGATGGCGTCAATCGCCATTTTTCTTCGTTTTCTTGCGACTTGCCTTCTCATGCCGGCCCTCCATGTTTGTTGAATTATTTGGCAGCTGTTTACCAACGTCATGTAACGTTGCTCGGCAAGCCTTTGTCGCTCCAATGCCCACTTTTGAATTTCTGCGTCTCCGCCGTCACTTGCAGAGGAAGCTATCGACGAAACATCATCTGCCAAGGCTTCCTCCAACAAGAGACTACTACTGCTGCGTCCCCTCTCCGATATTCTTTCAATATCAGTCATAATCTGTTGCATCTGGCAAACTCTCCACCATCCTTGTAGAACTTTGGCTGCTCGCTCTCGTCGCCGATGCTCGTCCCGCTTGGCTTCTTCAATCTTCCTGAGAGAATCTCTGCGTTCGAGCCGTTGTCGTAAGAAGACCCGACGTTGTTTGGCGTGCCGTTTGAGATCAACTCCTCTCCACCAGTCCTGAATGGCAAGGGCCGCCAAGAACAGGCTGTTCTCATGGTATTCGGCCTCTAGCTGTTGTCGTCGTTGAAGTTCCAGGTTGCGTCTTCGCGAACAAGTTCGAAACCACTTTTGAATCTTTTGGCAAGCGACTTCTTTTTGCAGAGACTGTTTCAGGTAGTTTCGGACTGATACTTGTCGGTGCGTCTTGGCCTTCAGCCATTGAATTGCATGCTGTAGCTCAGGATAAAAAGTGGCTGGATAGGAGTTTTCTACGGTGGGTTGTGGGGGGTAACTGTAGGAAGAGATTGGAGTTGCATGGCTGGCATATTGTACAGTGCGTAGGATTGTGGAGCAAACACGAAGTGTTTCCCATTTCCGTCGCAGAACGAGCTGTCTCCACCAATCCTGGATTACTTTGGCAGCTCGTGCTTCGTTTTGCGAGTACATTTTGAGCGGAGTTGCGACACGTGTCTCATTGAGGGAATGGAAGAACGATGTGTCGTCAAGAGACTGGTAGAAAGATGGGTCCAGAGCAGCAGTAGGTGATTGCAGTTCATGGACGACCGACACTTGGTCTTCCTCTTCGGCCACTGCGAATAGCTCGTCAAGTTCCTTGATGACATCCTGCCCTTCCGAATCCATGATGTCATGATACACATTTTCAGTGTGAAATACTTCCTCTTCGATAACCTTGTCTTGCACGAATCCAAAGAAGCGGAGTACATTGTAGGCCGAAGATGTACTGACGTTCCGGTCGTCCATGGCCAATGAGATGTCGTGGACACTTTCGTTCTCATCCGAGTGACAGTCATCAAAAGATTCTGAGGTTGCTGATTCCAGAATGTTGGACACGTCTGGCAAAGGGCTGTGGAATATGTCCTCTTCGCCTTGTGAATCACCTTGTGAAGATTGCTGTGGCGACACTTGTTTCTGTTGTTGTTGTTGTCGAGCAATGACATCTCTGTGAGGTGACATGAGCTCTTGCCTGGAAAAGTAGAGCTGTGAATCCGGGTCTGTGTTGTCGAGTGCCAGCTGAAGTGCATATATCGTATCCAAGGCCATCATTTCTTTGGTAGGCTTACGGTTCTGCCTGAGATGTGAGGATATGTTGTTGTTGTCAGCATTGGTGTCTGGTTGTTGTTGTTGTTGTTGTAGCCGTTGGCTGGCGTGTGCCAACAAGAGAGGATCTTCCGAGATGTAACTAGTGTCATCCCCCAGTCCATATAGTAGCGAGGAATCCTCTGAGAGTTTGGTTTGAATGAATCGATCATCTTTCTTTTCTTCTCCGACGAGAGATGAACTGTGAAAAGCAGTTAGTGTGTCTCTTGAAGGTTGGTTGGGACTGTGGCTGGTACCAGTAATGGACCGTTGGTCTTGTTGTTGAAGCTGTTGCTGTGTCTTGACATGCAGAGCTGCCACAGCTTGTTGTAATTCTTGATAGGCACTACCAGTACTCTGTAGCTGTAGTTGTTGCAGGAGTTGGCGACATACTCTCATGGTCTGATAGTGCTGCATGGCGAGGATTCTGCGCCACCAAGCCTGGAGTCGAATGATGGATTGCATTTGATTTTGTAACGACGGCAATGACATTCTTCTCTGCAATGCTGTAGGAGCACTCAAGGGTCGCTTCTTGTTGCTGCTGCTACTACGAGTAGTAGCAGTAGCAGGAGGGGATCGAAAGAACTCCATACACGCCAAATCTGCACAGTAACGATCGCTGCCATCATCGCTAGAACCACTGATGGATCGGGAAACATCCGAAGGACTGAAAGTGATACGGTTCATCTTTCGACTACTACTAGGCGTAGTCCGAGCCATGGCTTGGTTCAGCACCAATGAAGGTGACATGGGAGGTGGCTTTACCAAAAGCGGAATCTCCACGCCACCATCGTCATAGTTGTCCGTTAAAAACGAACTCATCTCTGAAGCTCAATGATCTCCACGTAACCCCCCTCTCTCTTCAACAGCTTGAGCCACCCAGCTAGCTGGCTTGATCACGTTGTCACTACCCGCAGAAGAAGAATGATTCAGTCACAAGGGGAGGACAACCGAGCGCCATGTGCAACAGTTGCAATGAGTACTAGTAGTGCTGTATCATTCGGTGTGGGGAAGAGCTAGACAGAAGCCGCCTCCAAGAATATTTTGGCGGCGCACCTTAATTCTCCGACGCAAACTTGTCCAAACCAAAAGCCGGCTGCGCTGTGAGACCTGGAGAAGGGTTTCCGAGGGCGAGAGCATTGCGGCACACCTGACCCGTACAAGTGCAAGTGCTGTATTGGATTTGCACATGAGCTTCAAAAGGAAGGCACCACGGTACCGTCGCTCTACTAGCCAGTACAGTGTAGCTGTTAGTTTATGGCACTCCTCTCATGGAGTCCAAAGAAACGATGTGAGGAGCTACCGGTAGTCTAGCTCCAATTTAGAACAAGAGCAGCAGCATAGATCCAAGGAAACTATAACCCATTCAACTATATTTATCTTGCTAACCTTCCAGCTCCATTCCAATAACTACTTTCAACTTTACCGGGGGGGGGGGGGCATGTGAATTCTTCAACAATAGAAGATTGGAACATGGCCTTGACTGGATGTTCTTCTTCCAGTAGAAGCAACATGAACACTAATCACTTCAGTCAATGATATTCCACTCTGCAACATCCATGATGGATCTGCGGCTGTTACTATCGGGTTTTTGCGCCCACCAGCCTCTTGCTATAAAGCCCAGAATGTTAAGCACCACATCACTGGGAAAGTCAGTCTTCTTTCGTGCAAACAGATGCCAAAGGTAGTTGATCATTCTTCGATCGGTGGTTGGAAAACTCCAATAAACCTTCTTGCTCCAGGCACTGACATTCTGTGCACCATACATGCCTTTTAGAACAGAAGCCAACTTGTCTTCATGTCTCCACCAGCACAGGTCAGAAATCATCGCATTTCCTCGAGCTCTGAGAATTTGAACAGCAGTAACATCTGCCCGGGACACTGCTTCGCTCAGAGTGTTGATATTGACAATGTCTCTTCCTCGAATTAATCCTAATCCCCCCAAAGAACAATCCCTTTCTTCCTGGGAAAGAATATCCTGGAGCTGTTGCTTTCTCTCGTCTAGAAGGATATTCATGCACTCATATCGTCGAAATTTTACTGCAGTCATCAATGCATGAGGAGTCCCAAGAATGATGGAACACTTTGCATCAACAAGCAAGAGCTTGAGTAGCTTCGAATAACCCCTTCTAGCTGCCAAAGACACCGCGGATTCACCACTAAAGCCAGTGTCATTGGGATGAATGTTTTTGTCTAGCAAGGCTTGTGTGTACGCCATCAAAAGTCGTTGATTCGCTTCCTTGCGGCGTTTGTCAAATGGGCGGGGATGGGAATGAATAACAGCATTGGCCAAGTAAGATGTGTATAGCTGGGAAATCTGGTTGTCCTTTGCAGTGTGAATGCGCTTGGTGCACTTGGCAATAGCAAACCTATCGATTTCCTCACTGTGGGTAATCCAAATTGGTGATGCAGATTGTTGATTTTTTGTTGACCGTTTGGAAGTCCGTCGCCTCTGCTGTGGCTCAGTGGTGCTACTGCTATTGTTGTTCATGTTGCTTCCCTGTTCTGCCATCGAAAGGAGATTCAGCGGAGGAAGACAATGTGCCAGCACTGTGGGGTTGGCTGGTTGATGAGCCCAAGTTCTTGACTGGCTCTCTCCTTCGATTTGAATGTTTGACCAATCTATGACATACTGATGAGAGCGAACAAGCAAGGTCCAAGCGAAGTTTTCCACGATAGCGACAGCCGTAGGCCACTCGTCATCGTGGAAACGCAGCGATGACCATGCAGTTTCGCGAATGGAATCGACAATCCACAAAAACATACGAATCGAATCCAAATCAAATCGAATAGCAACAGTTGCAATAAGAGGGGGAAAACAAAGACTAAATACATGTAGATGCTTTAATTAAGGAGCGAAGGGGGCGAAGCTAGGCAGAGCAGTGGCTGCGGTGGTGGGTGGATGTGTTGGGGGCATACGGGGAGAGCAATGATCGAGGATGGGAGCAGGGCAAAGAGGGGGGTAGGGAAGGGGGGTGCATGGAGGAAAACCAGGAAGGAGAAGGGAGCAAAATTAGCGGAAGAGTGCAAGTGCACCATCGGCATCCCAGAGAGAACCACGGTAGCTCATTGTGCCAGCAGGGACACGAGAGCCACGCATGCAGAGGTGACGGGCCCGAAGAATAGCTAGGCTGAGCCGAGCATTAACGTAGCCACGCACCACTGAGTACGGGCGTTCCCACTTTGCAGCGAGCAAAGTTGAAATACGTTTCGCGAGTGCCTCACCCCCAGGAGACCATCAGCAGAGACAACAAACGGAGTAAAGTGGCGGCGTTGGGAAAGACAGGCATCGAGATACTTGCGTTTCTTGTCACGTTCGCCATTGCGAAGGACCTTGTCAGGATCCTTGCGACAGTGAGAAGCAGCATCAAGATTGATGACACGAACATCAATTGTGCCGTCACTTCCGCGTTGCCAGAGGCCACGGATAAGGAGATCACCTCGTTGCTCGGCTGGGGTGAGGACTACAGGAGAGTCGCTGGAAGGCGAATCATCCGTAGCTGCAGGTTACCTTACTGTGCTGTGATGCATGGGCATCATTGTCTAAACCCCCGAAGAGCTGCCGAGCCGCCTCCAAGAATATTTTGGCGGCGCACCTTCTCTGACGCAGACTTGTCCCAAACTACAGAAAGTCCAGCAAGCCTCTCTAGCTCGCTAACGGCTTGATACGACTGTAGCTAGCTAGCTGGTGCTACTACATGTAGTAGACTGGATAGTATCCCTACCGTAGCTAGCTAGTAGCGTCCACAGGAGATTTGGGCCATCGCAAGAGCTATCGTCTGTAAAATTAAAAGTAGTACATGTACCTCAAAGGTACCTTTACCGTACTAGCTACCAGTAGTACCAGTACACAAAAAGGATTCGATTCATAACGGGGGGTTTAGAGTAAAAAGGTCAAACAGCAACAGCACAGAGCACAAGCCCTATGCAGTGGCAACACTATATGACAACTTGACTAGGAGAGAGGAATCTACGGGTGTGTGTGGCAAGGCTCAAATCTTGCATCAGACAATTTCACATCCATGCAGTCTATGCAGTCCAGGCCGGCCCCTTGCATTTCTTCGAACCCTGTTTCTTCGAACCATTGTCTCTGGTTTGGCGTTGGCTGCATCCACACTCGCAAGTGGAGTTCATGAACAGTTCTCCACCAGCTCGAACAACTGTTGCTGGAATTGGTGTTGCTTCCCGGGCAAGTGCGCATACGGGGTTGTCACAAAGAAAGACTGGACCTGGCACTTTGCCACCACCAGCTTGCTGCAGCCGAGTGTATTTGTATGCAATCAGCGGATTGCTGTTCGCACCCCATGAGACACACTCATCCTGGGGTCCAATTTCAACCTCTTCAACCTCAAAGAATGAAGCATAGGACTCTTCAGGTGTCTTCAGCCCGAAACGTTGTCTTCTTTCCAGTACCTGCGAATGTGGGAGTCCGAGATAACGAATGCTGCAAAGAGTCACCATGACAGTTCCCGCTCGACAGTTGGCAAACAAGGCGGCGATTCGAGTATCAACTGGGTCATTCCCTCGTGTTGGATCTGATCTGGAGTCCATAACTTCATTAAAATTGTTCACAAAGATCCGAGTGCAACCTGTCAGCCATGTTGTTAAGGCAGGGTCCTCAATTCGGCCGTGCTTCAACTCAACTGGGCCTGCTCTGCGGTCCCATTCAGTGGGCTTAAGAGAAGACAAGACAACAAAATGAAATGCAACTTGTTAGCATGTTCAATAACCTTGCATGCATCCAGCCATCCAACCATGCATGCTGTCAGCAAACACTCCTGTACATACATTGGATTTTTTCTTATCGTTTGCAACCTTTGCCAACTTGCGGTGAATGGCCGCAGACACAACGTAACGTGGTTCAAGAAGTTCTACACCCCTGGCTTCACAGCCAGTGGTGAATGACACTTGGAAGCAAAGATTCCCTAGGCCATGGCCCAAGTCAAGGACTTTGTCGCTTACTGTAATGTCCATTACACGAATGATTTCCTATACAACAGAACGACGACAAGGTTGAGTACCGTATCAGTGCATGTATGAAATAATGAGGTTCCTTTGTTCATCTCACCTCAGTTGCCTTTGGCATAATACGTCCATAGACGGCAGCGTTTTGTTTTGTGCTGTCACTCTTAGCCACTCTCCAGGTTCTGAAACCATCACTAAACTCAATGTCCTCCAAAGAGTTTCCAAGCTCTCCACCTTCCTTGGCTACCTGTTCAAAAAGCTCCATGAATTGTTCCGAAGTATATGGATCTTTGCTTGTTCCTTGACAGGATTCCGAGAATTGCTTCAATTCCTTCTCCATCCTTGGGTCTTTCCAGATTCGCTCGCATGTGCCCACATCGGTGTCGACACGAAACTTGTAGATGACACCTGGGACTTCAGGGTGGGATATACTGGTTGCGACTGTGGTTGTTGTCACGACTTTTGGTTTAGAGGTGATTGACCAAATGATGTCCTTTGGCAGCGTGGACAGATAGTGTGCATCGGTGCATGCCAACTCTTTTTCTTCCGTCGGTGCAGACCATTCGTAATCGACATATCCCCCCCGGCGGTGAGCCTTGCCTTCCTTCTGCTCTGAGCCCATGGAGGGACTTGACCATTCAATATCCAGAGTAGTGTTCTTTGGCAGCGTGGACAGATCGCGTGATTCGGAGCATAACAATAAATCTTCGGCTTTCGTAGGTCCATACCATTTGTAATTGACACATCCTCCCTTGCCGCGAGCCTTGCCTTTCGTCTGCTCTGAGCCCGCGGAGGTTGGATTGTAATCTGGGCGGCGTTTGCGCTTGGCGGTACGCTTGGGGGCACGCTTGGCGGGACGCTTGGCTGTTTGGAATGTGGCTTGACGCTTGCGCTCGATAGCGCCTTTCTCTCCCTTGTTTCGAGTCGAACGACGACGGCTATCACCCTTTGTAGTTCCCGAACGGAGCTTCATCGTACTCGTCATCATGTGGATCTTGTAGTGTCGTGGTGTACTAGTACGTGCTCTTTGGGTGAGCTGAAAGAAGACTATGCAGAGCTGAACGGAGATCAAAGACTATGCCCTTGGAGCCTTCGATACAAAGTTGTGTGAGCGTTTTAAGAGTCTCATATAATCCAGAGTCCAAATTTTGTATTTGTTTGGATGGAGGCGGTCGCTTAGTTTCCACGGTACCAGGTACCGTAGGTTACGTTTCTCATAACTTAACGGTTGCGACAAATCCCGCTCCGGCAGCCGTTTCGGCGTGGAAACTCATCTGGTGTCAGTCTTCTACTAGCTACTCTAGACGTCTGTCGTGCCTCGTACGGTAGCGAAAATGTGACATCCAAAACCCAACCAATACATGTAGTCTAGTGGGGGCAGAGCACGAGCAATACGGTGCGTTGAGAGCATCGGTACCGTTTGTACCAGTACACAGCGTAGCTCGCTTGGGCGCGATGCTACCGTGACATTCGGGTATCGAGATGCAGCTCGTAGAACTTTCGTTGTGCTGATTTTTGTAGTACGGTACAGTACCGGTACCGTACTTCTTTGTCTTTGATCTTGTTTCTCGTCCAGAAGCCAGGGTCGGGGAAGGGGCAGGTTCAGTTGGGATACGGGGCAGGTTCAGTTGGGATACGGTACTGTAGGCATTAGTTTGTGGATCAGCGCATTCACTTCACGCGGCATTTCCTGGCATGTGAAAATCATGAAACTACGACGGGAAGAACGTGACGAGTTGCAAGTTTTCTTCGTTTTCACAGTCACGGCCTTGATTGTCGTCAACTGTAGCGGTACTCGTTGCTGCATCGTCAGCCGTGCCGACTCGACTAACTGAACGATCTTTTAGTTTTTGGTGTACAAAGCGCACGGTACATGTATTGCCATCGTTGTGGCTGTCTACGACTGTACCCTCCTTGGTACTACTCTGCTCGACCATCGACATTTGTGTTCGGCTCCTCCCTCTCGACATCCACAAAGAGTCATTCTGCATTGCTTCTTGATCTAGAGACTCCAATACGGTACTATAAATAGCTCAAGTTTAGGGTATCGTACGCAAAAGTAATGAGATACAGGTTGTCCCAATCAGCTCCCAATCTCAAAGCTGTGTTCGATACCAGTAGCCTTCCCACACCTCGGTCGTCCTCTTCCCTGGACCCTCGACACTCGACGATCGTGGGATTTTGCAAAGCGGTCTTGGTAGATCGAGCGAGCGGTGCCAAATGGGAAGGCAAAGGTACCTCTCGGGTTGGTTATCAATGGCTTGGCTTGGCTTGGCTGAGCTCAACAAGCTGCTCGACAGGCTACTAGCTACTAGTACCGGCATGATGTCGGGAGAATGCAACACCATCTTTGCCAATGTTGACAACATGGTGTAGGGTTCCACAAGCAATCAACATTCATTCCTTTCCGAAAAGAAGGAGGCACAGACACCAAAGACAACTGCCCAGGTAGTGGTCATTCAGAAACCCAGTCATCTGGATATTCTTTTGTTAAATCATTAGTTAAGAGTCTACTTGCGCACTTCCCCCCAGTTCAATGACATCATTGTTCGTCGATCTTCTTGAAGCTCCAGCTGTCCCAATCAGAATGCTGGATGATGTGCTCACGCCTTCTTTTGCAATCTGCTTTTTCTAACGGCGAAGCAGTCACAAAGGGAGTCATTCTTGTGCCTTTTGACATCGCAAATTTTGGATATTGGCACCAGCCGGCACACTGGCACACAAACAAAACAACACCCGTCTGTTGAATGAATACATGCGTCAACTTGTAGAAGCTAGCTAGCAACTAGAGCTCTAATAATAGCAAGCAAAGAAGAGAACCATAACCATGGTGTTTGGCCGCATGATGAACAGTCGGGCAAGGTAGGTACCGTTACCTTTAATGAGTGGTGGCGAGCGAGCGGATTGGTCTCTGATTCTGCAGTTTTTTCTTCTGTTTTTCTTCTTGTGGTACTTGATACCGTACAGGGAAGCCCCGACGATTGTGGAAGAAGTGGTGGAGGATGATGAAGCTCCCGCTTGTACGTTTGATGATGATGCCGATCCTTCGATTGAGCGTTGTTGGGCCGATGGCGACGCCGATGCTCTCATGATGATGAAGAATACCACGGCTGAGGTTGGCATGATTGCTGGAGGTGACTGGTCGAGTCAACCGTTGGTGTTGGGAGCGGCTGGAGTGGCCATTGTCGCGGTCGTTGCCGTGCTGGGGCTCTTGCTGCGGGAAGTCAAGCTACGAAAAAAGGCACAGGCCAACGCTCCTTCTCCTGCGGCTGCTGCTAGTAGTAACACAACTACTACTAGTAGTACCAAGAGAGACGGGGGCAAGACGGTGGCTCCACCTGCCAAGGTCCAACCTCCAGGTGGACAGCAGCAGCAAATGGCAGAGCCAGCAGTCGTCGAGTCCAGAGTCAAGGAATTGAAACTCTGCTTGGAACGAGAAACCAAGGAAAAACAAGGACTTTCCGAGCAAAATAACTTCTTGAAGAGCGCGTTGGAAGAACGAAAGGCAACGGTTCAAATGTTCACCAGTGAATTGCAGGTACGTAGGATCGTGTGTCAGTCCACCAGAGTTTGCCATTACAATGTGCTCACAGACATATTACTCATTCGTTCGTTCGTTCGTTCGTTTTATTTCCAAAAGAGCCGAGATGAACAGTTGGCCAATTTCGAACAGGAACAAGTCAAAGTCAAGAACGAGCTGTACAATCAGATCGAGGCGCTCAAAAATGAACTACAGGTCCAAGAAAAGCTACAACAGCAAAACCTTAACAATATGGATGGACAATGTGTAAGATCAAGACTCGTCAGTACTAACTAGTATTGCTTTTCACTTACTTACCCTGCCCCCCTCACATCTGATTCACTCTACGCCGTACTTTTTGTATAGGCCGACTTGGCAGGAAAGGTGGAAGGACTCATGAAAGAACTGGCCAATCGTGAAGAACAGTGGGAAAAGTTCGAAAAGGATGCCAAGGCAAAGGAAGTCGATTCGGCCACGCAGATTGAAGCCATCAAGAAAGAGTTTGCCGCCAGGGAACAGTCACAAAAGGTTACATTGACTACCAAGGACAAGGAATGCGCAGAGCTAAGTGCTAAACTCGAAGCTTTGAAAAAGGACATGAACTCTAGTGAACAACAAGTCAAAGTGTTCCAGCAACAGCGGGCCAAGTGGGGTGTCGCCACAAATGAAATGAAACGATTGCTCAAGGAAAAGAGAGAAGAGATCGTGGGCCTCACCACACGCATGGAACTCTTCTTGGGAGAGTTGCAATCCAGGGAAGAACGGGTCAAGTCACTCGGGCAGAAAATGGCAGACAAGTCGGACTTGACGTCGGCCGATCTAGAGTCGCTACACAAACAGTTGCAAGCTCAAAAAGAAGACCACGAGGATTGGAGTGCCAAGACGTTGGAAATTGGTCGCTTGTTGGGAGAACGGGAAGAAGAAAGTCGCGAGCTAGCCAGCAAGCTCGAAAAAATTACTTTGGAACTGCAAAGCACATCCGATAAGGTCGTGGAACTCGAAGCCAAAGTGCAAAACAAGGAGTTCGTCATTGCCTCCAACAAGGAAAAGCTGGAAAAGGCTCTAGTGGATGAAAAAGGTCAACGTGCCACGTGGTTTGACCAGCATGTGAAGATGAGTCGACTCTTGAAGGAACGACAAGAAGAATGTGCCAGTCTCACTGCCAGAGTGGAGATTTTCGCGGCGGAACTCAAGTCTCGTGAGAAGATTGTGCAGAATCTCGAGGTCAAGGTGCAAGACAAAGCAAACATCGTTGTGGGATCTCTGCAGGCATTGGGAAGGGAAGTGCAAGGAGCCCAAGCATTCCGCGATACCTGGAGCGCTTCTACCAAGGGAATCCTTGCACAGCTCGAGGAGAGAAAGGAGCAAGTCGTAGGCCTTTCCACACGGGTGGATTTATTCCAGTTAGAGCTGAAGAAACGGGAAGAGCGAGTTGAGAAATTGGAATCGGTACTCGAGGGAGAAGAGAACAGCACAAACGCGACACTAGCACCATACCGCAGTCAATTAAAGGCTCATCAGGATGATTTGTCTAAATGGACCGACAATACCAACGAAATCAGACAATTGTTGAAGGATCGAAAGAATGAATGTGTTGGCCTGGCAACTCGTCTTTCGCTCTTCAAGAAAAAAGTCTCCGAGTTCGAAGAAAATGTTGGCGTCGTTTCAAAGAAAGTTGATGCCAAGGAAGGAAGCTACACCAGCGATCTGTCTCCTTTGAGGGAGCAGCTTCGGCAGCAACAGATGGAACGCGAAAAATGGAACACCCAAACAATCGACATTGGAAAACAGCTGCAGGACCGTCAAACACAGTGTGTTGGCCTCACCACTCGCTGTACCTTGTTCAAACAGCAGACCAAGTACCACCAAGACCAAGTCATAGCTCTCACAGCAAAGGTGAATGAATTGGAGGAAAGGTTTGCTTTGAAATTGGAGCCTCTCAGGAAAGAACTTGGAGTGCAACGTCAGGGCCTAGACAGCTGGAGAGAAAGCACGCGAAATGTCGAAGAACTCCTGAAACAAGCAGAGCAGGACTGTGTGGACCTCACAGATGAGCTAAAGGTGCACGTTGTAAAACTTCAGAGTTGCCAAAAAGAAGTGGCAAACCTTCAGGCTCAGGTCGTGGCAAAAAGCGAGACTGTATCGAGCACCGAAAACATGTACTTTGCTGAGCGGAAGAATGAAGAAGCGGAGCTGGAGAAATGGACGAACAACACTGAAGATTTGGTGCGGCTGTTGAATGACAAGGAAGGCCAGATTGTTGGATTGAACACTCGGTTGGCTCTCTTTGAGACAGAACTCTCCACCCGACAAAGTATTGTTTCAGATCTAACAGCAAAGGTTAGCGAGCGCGGCACTGCCTTTAAAACCCAAATCAGCTCTTTGCAAAATGAGCTCAAATTTCAACGAGAACAGCGAGACCATTGCTTAGAAGCAACTCTTCACATGAACAAGTCGATGAAAGAAGTTAAGGAGCCATGCGTTGGATTGACGACAAGACTTGCTTTGTTCCGGAAGGAGCTTGCGGGAAGGGAAGAACGTGTGAGAATCTTGGATGCCCAGGTTCGCGATAAGATGGAGGCCGAACGCTTCGAGATTGATCCGATGCGAGAGGAACTCGAGCGACTACGAGAGGGCAAGGATAAGTGGAATGACTCCACGTTGGACATATTCTGGATGCTCAAGGAAAGACAGGACCAGACTGTTGGCCTGACGACTAGGCTCGGTAAGTTGGTTTGTAACCAGCGAAATCGTCTGTCTTCAACTATAGCTCACATCATTATCGGTGCATTGTTGAGCAGAGCTCTTCATGTCGGAGTTACAGAGGAAAGAAGACGCAGTTGACGAAGCAGAATCTAAGCTTGCCGAGACCGAAACTGGTCTCGTCCAGATTGCCAACATGGACAACGAAATCAAAGTACAGGAAGAGCAGAGGGAAAAGTGGCGCGAAAGCACTGATGAGATTACTCGGCTGCTGGAACAGAAAGAAGGAGAGAGGTCGGCCGATTCCATCAGTCTTTCGGCAAAGCTCGAGCTCTTCAAGGGGGAGTTGCAACGCCGGGAATCAAAAGTTCAAGAACTCAAGGCAACAATGCAACATAGAGGCGAACGCTTGAGGAACGACAATGCTGCCCTTGAGAAGCAGATTCCTGTTCTGAAGGACGATCGCGATTCCTGGATGGAGAAAGCCATGACCATCAACCAAACTCTCAAGGACACACAAAACGAGTGCACCGGCTTGTCAACTCGCTGGGAGCTGTTCAAGGTTGAGCTCAAGAACCGAAAGGAAGCTGTTGCTGAATTGGAAACCAAACTGCACCAGAAAGAGGAGCACCACGCAAGGATGGTGAGGCCGTACCAGAACGAGCTAACAACTCAGACTGGCCTTCGTGACAAGTGGGTCGAAACCATCGACAAGATGGAACGGCTTCTCAAGAAGAAGGAATCTGAGTGTGTCACGTTCACAACTCAGCTCGAGACTTCCATTGATGAATTGTCCGGCAGAAAGGAGCAGGTTGCCCGCCTGGAAAAAAGCCTAGGCCTAGCCGTTGAAAGAGCTCAGATTGAGATGGGGAATCTGAAGTCACAGCTCACGACAGCAACCGAAAGTTTCACGAGCTGGGATGCTAGTACCAAGAATGTGGCAAAAATGCTCAAGGATAAGCGACAAGAATGCGAAAACCTCAAGGTCCGCTTGCAGGTCTTCCGTCGTCAAGTTGAAACCCAAGACCGCCGCCTTGCTATGCTCGAGTCTGCGTACAAAGCCAAGAGCGACGACGTGAATGCACAAATGGAAGCTCTCCAGAACCAGCTGCGATCACAGCAGTCGGCGCGGGACCAGACTGTCAGTTCAACGCTCAGTATCAACCAGCAAATTAAGGACAAGGAGATGCAGTGCACCAGTATCTCGGTGCGTTTGTCTTTGTTCCGCACCGAACTAGAAAATCGAGAGAAATGCGTGGCGACATTGGAAGAGAAGCTGAAAGAAACCGAAGACTTGTCTACGCTTCAAATCGATCCCGTCAAGGCACAACTCCAGCAGCAAACAGACGAGTTGGCTAAATGGATTGTCAACACGAAGGATGTTCATGCGCTGTTGAAGAAGAGAGATGAAGAGCGTGTGGGTCTTGCCACCAGGTTGAAGCTCTTCCAGCTACAGCTGAAAGGAATTGAAGAGAGCGTTGCGATTCTAGGGGAACGTGTGAAAGAGAGAGAAGAAGCTGCTTCATCAGAAATGGCGCCATTCAAGAATGCTCTCCAGGCCCAACAAGCGGAACGAGACCGCTGGACGGCTTCAACACTCGAGATTGTGAACCTCTTGCAGGATCGAAAGACCCAAATCACTGGACTAACCGTCCGGCTATCCCTCTTTCGCAAAGAAGTGAAGCACCGAGAACATGTGGTTGCGAGATTGGAGAGCCAACTCGAGGAGAAGGAATCTGAAGTGAACGATTTCAAGCTCGACCCTATCAAGAAACAGCTGGCTGCGCTGACGGCTGAGCGTGATCAGTGGGCGGCCATGACAGAAAACTTGACCAAAACAAGAAAATCCAAACAAGCCGAAATAAGCGGATTGACCACTAGGTTGGCCTGCTTCAAGATGGAACTTCAGAAACGCGAAGAGGCCTGCAATGTTCTGCTGAAGAAGTACAATGACCAGAAAAGCCTCAGTGGATCGCAGGTCCAAGTTCTCAAGAGCGAACTGGCCATGCAGATGGAGCAGCGTGACAAGTGGCGTGAGACGACAACCGAAATGAGGAAGCAGTTGGTAGATAGAGAGGCACAGGCTGTCGGCTTGAACACTCGTGTTGAGCTGTTCCTGAAGGAGATCGAGGGCCACGATGCTACAATTGAGAGTCTCAAGCAGAAGCTAAAGGAGAACAGTGCTGCGATCGACGAGGTGAAGGAACTGAAGAAGGAATTGCAAGTGCAACAAGAGCATCGCGACACCCTCAGCAAATCAATGGAAGAAACGGGCCAACTTTTGAAAGAGAAGAAGGCGCAGTGCGCAGGGTTGGCGACGAGATTGGTTGTGTTCCGTCAGCAGTTGAAGGAACGTATGGAGCGCTTGAACAAAACCGCGACGACGATCAAAGAAAAGGAGGAGCTTACAAATGCTCAGATCGAGTCTCTGAAGATCGATTTGCAATCTCAAAAAGAACAGCGCGATAAGTGGTCTGAGACAACGGAGGAATTGAAGAAGCTCCTTGAAGAAAAGGAAAAGCAATGTTCGATCATTTCAGCCGAGTTGGAGCTTCTGACCAATTTGCAGGGTGCAGCATCATAAAAAAGGAAGCTTGTCGTCGTCGTCGTCGTTTGGTTTGGGTGAGTACTGTCGGCGACCAAGGGAAAGGAAAACGAGACCTGTGGCGGCTTTGCAGGGAGCCCGCTTTTGGGGGACGGCTGTGTCTGAGAGTAAAATGCACCAGCATGGGTATGAGCAGTCCTGTTGCCCCAGATTTCTGTAGTTTACCATATTGTATTGTTGAGTCGAGTCTATTGTCGTCAGCTTGTATTCTGCGTTTCACGTGTGGTTCTGTTGTACATCATGGTTGCTTCTTTGCCTCACGATGGCTTCACGAACGAATTCATGATCTGGGCACCCACAACTTCGCCATCGTCCTCCGTCCGCTTGTTGGTCTCCGAAATGGTTTTGGTCGGTCTTTCGTGCTGAATGCTGTACCAGGTAGCGGTACCGGTACAGAGACGAGTGTCAATAATTATTAAATAGTCTTGTTGGCTTCTCATTTTGGTACGACTGACTGTTAGCACACTGTTATGCAACGGTCAGCGTGACCACAAGCCTTCTTAAATCCAATTGGTTGTCAGTGGTACCGGTGTCCCGGTATCACTTGCGTCATCATTTCCGATGACTATGCGTAAAACTGGACCCACAAAGTTTGAGTGCCACCACAAAAAAACGTTGTTTGTAGTCTACCCTGGCACGACAACAAACCAAAAGGAGCCATCTGCCGTCCAACTCACCGGCATCGAGCCTTCGATGGGAATAGCACGAGTGTAGAGGCTGCTTGTCATCCCCTCTGCTGTGTTTGTGTCGCGCTACTAGTACCCCCGAAAAGGACGTCGGTATTGAATTCTCTTTTTTTGTTGCCGCCCAAGGCAAAGGCAAACCATGGATGCCACTGTTGGTTCATCGGGGGTCAGCGTAGTGGGCGATGTATACGAGGACGCTTGTGACCTTGGACAATTCTTTTTGAATCCGTGTTGGTATGTGTTTGTCAAAGTCGAGAAACTGCTGAAAGAACGGTCCCAGCGACATCAGTCCTCCGACGGTACGAGTGGCTCCTCAAGCGACCCAAGTTCTGACAACAGCCTCGACGACGGAGGAACCAGGACACGCAAGACCAAGTTCCTCTCCAACATCCAACAAATATTCTATTTGACGACCTTTTATGTGTGCTGGGCAGTCATATTTTCTCGAGCCTACCCGTTGATACACAATAGTCAACACGTATCCAACTATCACATGGCTGTTGGATACGTCATCTTTGCTTCTTGCGTAGCCAGCTGGATAGGGGCCAAGACTGTCGGCCCAGGATCCATTACCGCCGAAACCATCTGGAAGTACGACAACTATAGCTATGATGGGATATTGTATCGAGCAACCAACAACACATGTCCTACACTGAAAATACGAAAATTGGCAAGGAGCAAGTACGATCGATTCTCCCAAACCCATGTACCGAGGTTTGACCATTACTGTGGGTGGCTTGGGAATACTATTGGAGAAGAAAACTATCGGTATTTTCTGGCCTTTGCAATGATTCACGCCGTGTTGTTTACCTACGGAGCCATAATACTTCTCCATCTACTTTGGACAAGCGCACCTCATTCTCCCAACACCATGGACAAGTTGGTGGCTAGTTTTTGGTCTGTGGACATCCGGGTTGCTGCTGTGGCTTTGGTCTGCTTTGTTCTTGCCTGCCCAGTACTTGAGTACACCCGCTTCCACCTCACCCTAGTGAAGAGAGGACAGACTACCAATGAACACTACAAGTGGAAGGAGATCCTGCAGCAAGAGTCTTTGCCAGTCAGGAGCACAGAAGAAGACACCGAGTGCCCCCCTACTGGTGACCCAAAAGACACGTCTGGTGCAGTGGGTACACCGCAGGGTTATTACAACCTTGGCCTGGCTGGCAACATCAATGAGGTGTTGTTCCCTCGCTCTCTTCGGGGTGAGTTCAACAAGGAATCATAGCTAGTAGCTACTGTAGTCAAAAAGAATGATGTTGGCGGTAGATTGAAGAACTACCGGTACTGTTGACGTGCCCGCCAATCCAAAATGAACAACTAGACTTCATGTGACCTTTGGAACAGAACAAGCAAGCCAATGGAACCAGCATGTTGTCAATTCAACATTCAAAGTCGTCTTCAGTGAAGCAGTCAAAATGACAGCCCTGAACCCTTGCTTATTAGAAATATCGTGCACAAGCGACTCCGTCATTAAAAGCAACAGTCGTCAACAGGAGGCTGGCTACACGACAACTTGCTCGCACCGGTACCGGTAGTACCTGGCATTGTCTTGATTGAATCTTCAATCTAACATGATACACTGTAGTCCTGTCATGAAAACCGGAACATTGTACCCAACGGTGGGGTACTAACACTGCTGGCCTTATGCATATGTACAAACATACGGGTACATGATGCACTGTAGTCCTGGCATGAAAACCGGAACATTGTACCCAGGCTACCGCTACAGGAAAACCGGAACATTGGATGGTGCTGCTTCCATGTACTGGTACAGTACCGTTACCGCCAGCAACGATCCTTCCTCCACCCGAGCTGGTCATTTTTATATTTATTTCGAGAGCCAGCCAGCACCATAGCCGTTAACAACTGCGCGGCCGGCCAAAGCCCAAAGCCCAACGATTATCCCTTTGAATTCCGCGCGATAGTCTACTCTAGCTAGCCATGCTACTGGTACCGTACCGGCTACCATTGGTACGTGTACCGGTACAGGGAAGACCGGATTAGAAGGGTAGTTGCGGTAACTAAAGGGTTAAAGTAACATTTACTCTGCATTTTTGTTTCAAAATTATATTTTACCGTAACTACCTGATTTCCAAAGTGGTCTTCTGATGTGCATGCAATATGGTACTGTACCGGTACCGGTACCGTCCCTGCCTCCCAGCTTAATAGGAACTGTGGCCGTTGACAAAGCCCCAATGATTCGATTCGATTCGTTGGTTTATTTGAATGGCGCGCAAATTGAATCTATCACTCTTTCCAAACCAAATGCTTTCCGCTCCTCTCACTTCCAATCGTCATAATCTTCGCTCAGCAAAAGCATCAAAGCATCAAAGCATCAAAGCAAAACATTCTTCAAAATGGCCCGGTGAGTACTAGCAGGAAGCCATGGTACCAAAGAAGTGCATTTACCGTCATACAGTAATTGGTTCCCTCAACCTCACATGTCCATCCAATTTCCCTTCCCCTCTCGAACCCACAGAACCAAGCAAACCGCCCGCAAGTCCACTGGAGGAAAGGCTCCCCGCAAGCAGCTGGCCACCAAAGCTGCCCGCAAGAGCGCCCCTGTCACTGGAGGTGTCAAGAAGCCCCACCGTTACCGCCCTGGACTGTTGCTCTCCGTGAGATCCGTCGCTACCAAAAGAGCACTGACCTCCTCATCCGCAAGCTTCCCTTCCAACGTCTTGTGCGTGAGATTGCCCAAGATTACAAGAATGATCTTCGGTAAGTACAATACCTTGTTGGGGTTGGACATGATTGCCACCATGGCACTATCAGTGAACTCACAGCTGCCTTCTCCATTGTGTTTCTTACAGATTCCAAGGATCGGCGCTTCTGGCTCTTCAGGAAGCTGCCGAAGCCTACATGGTTGGAATGTTTGAAGATGCCAATCTTTGTGCCATTCACGCCAAGCGTGTGACCATCATGCCCAAGGATATCCAGCTGGCCCGCCGTATCCGCGGTGAGCGCACCTAATAACTGACAACAAAATCACTTTGGAGAACCACGAATATGGATGATTGATGTGCTTGGGAAGACGGCAACGAGGCTGTCTATTTGGATTTTGACAGCCCATTCTACCACACTTTGAATTCAATGACACACCCAAGTGTCTCAGGTTGGCTGGGGGAATTCTCAGGTTGGGGGCCATTCTTTTAGTTGGGAAACCATTTATGCCATGGCTGCTTGCAGGTAGCATTTCTTGTAACGAAAAAATAATAATACAGTGTCACATTTTGGGAAATCTTGCTTACTAGTTTGCATACTAGTACATCATTACTGGCATACTGGTCCCGGTATTGAGTAGATCTAAGCCTTGTACATCATGTAGATCAAGAGAACAAAACACAGCCTTTCCCTCAATGAAACAAAGACCTACTAGTGTTCCAATACTGGCAGCCCTTACATCTTACATGTAATGTGCTGTCTCATAATGGTGTCGGTATGCTATCCTAGTTGGGGACAGTAACCTCATTTTGCTTTCTTGGTTCTTGGTCTACATAATATTATCGTTGCTCAAATTCATGGTACCATAAACTGGTAGAAGTCCACAAAATGGTAAGGTATAGGGCACCTCTCGAAAGTCAAATCATGCGGTATGCTGCCATAGCCAGAGTATCTGGCGCTTGCTGCCATAGTCAGTACGGTAGATACGAGGGCATCCTGGGGTGACGGTGCCGAGAGTTACTAGTAGTTGTCCTTGCCTGTTTTGTGAGAGGCGTCCAACGGTACCGCGAAGAGTACGGTATACCGGTAGCTATCCTTGACCTTATATTAGAAATTTTGTAGGCGGTAGTGCGACCATGGCAGGCGCCCCGTCGTGCCTTTGGGTGTCTTGATCTTGACCGAAAAAACAAAGGGAGACAGCGTTACAGCACCGAACCTTATCCTCGTCTCTTCTCTAGTCACCAGAGACTCGACTCGACTGGGCTCACTGTCAAGGATTGGGACAGAGTGCTAGCTAGGTAGTCAGCAATCGTAGCTCTAGTAGCTACACAATCGGATCTGGATCTGTTCAGCATCATCAGTCAAGGCACTCTCTCATTCATCGCCCAGACATCATCAGCTCCTCCCAATCTAGCTAGTATTCGGCATTGGCACCGTTTGGCTTGTTTCGTGCGACGACGACAGAGAGAGCTCAAAGCTGCTAGCAAGTTCTTTGGTGTGTTGCACAGTCAGTAGTTGATATCCAATTCAATTCAAGTCAATTCCAGCGAAGCCAAGCCAAGCCAAGTCGACAAGATGAATGGCCAAAGCAATGCGTTGGGTGGCTCCGGGTCCCGAAATGCCCGTGAGGAGCAAGTGATGTACTACATGGACCCTGACCACCCGGATAGCTTCACGCCGCGTATCTCAGTTGCTACTACCAAGGCATCCGGAAAAGTGGAGAAAACATTTCGTCAATTCGAGGCCAGTGATATGGAACGTGTGCTCGACTACGAAGATTGCGTCGATGCCCCCTCGGATGGGATCTTGATGGTCGGCGAAGATGATGGCAATGGAGGATACAAATTCCCAAATCGACACTGTTGTCTTCGTGGAAATTTCGTCTTTTACTTTGACACGGAAGATGTCGACGACAAAAGTGGACCCTACTCAACCTACCACGCGCCGCCGTTGGGAGTAATTCCGTTGGATAACATTGACATTCAATTTCCGCCAGGAGGAAGGCGCGTCTTTCGGGAACATGCTCACACCGATGCCAGAAATGGATACGAATATGTCGTCCTTCATGAACCGCCAGAACTCTCAGACGACGAAGACAACGCAGAAGGGGGCGAAATTGTCGCCGAAAAAAAAGAAGTAGACCCTGCCGCGGAAGGGGAAGAGGGTGACCAGCCAGAAGAACCTGCTGGACCAAGCGCTAGACCGCCCATGTTTTTGGTGGCACTCAGCTTGGGAGAGCGACAACAGTGGGCGGAAGCTATCGAGTCAAGATCCAAAAATGCCGGACAGCCAACAATGCTTCGAGCCAGCTACTCCACGTCCCGTGCAACTGGATCCAAGGGCGATGCCAAAGTGGCTTCTGTGAGACAGGATGCATCGCAAGGAGACCGTCGAAAGTCCACTAAAACAGGCGACAAAGAAGGAAAAGGAAAGAGTCTATTTGATTCAGATGACACTGAGGTCACCTCGGCGGTCAATGAATTTGGAGCAAATGGATTCTCCGAAATAAAATGGATGGACACATTCTTTGAAAACAACAATGATTATGATGCTCCTGACAAATGCGACCAAATGGAACACTTACAAGCAAGTATCAAAAAGAATCTCAAGGCGGCCGTGCTCGAGCAGTACGAGTATTTCGTACAGGCATCGGGAGAAATGACCACCATGGGCAAGGAAGTTTCCTCTCTTAAATCACTCGTCGAAACACAAATGGAAACTATCAGAGATATGAAAGAGATTGACTTTTCGGGAACTCTCCGTGACTTCTCCAAGGACGTACCAGATGGCATGGGAATGGAAGAGGATGGATTCAAAACAAACGGAAAGAAGGGGAGGCGTCGGCAACCAGGTCCCTTTGGAGACGAAGAAAGTGAAATCTCGTCCGTGTTGGATGACCTCGGCAGCAACCATGATTTCATGCGGGGAATCGGCAAAAACGGAGCGAATCAGAATCAAGCGGATGCACCTAATGAAACCACGGAAGACCCGGCACAGCTCATTGAGGTACCGACATGGCTAGATGAAGTTGGCGAGGAAGTGGCAGCCTTCGTGAAGGAAAGCCGCTACACAGACGCAATAGACTTATGGACAAAGGCGAAATCGGAAATTGCAGAGTTATTGGACAAGGTACGAACCAGCCAAGGCGTCCTGTGTTTTCTGGACCGGAACAATGTTGGAACCTCAGTCTTTTTTGCCTCTACAACAATTTTTGCAGCACGAAAATCCTGTCCAGCTTTGGCTTTCTAGCGCCCACCAAACACAGCTGCGGGCTCTTCAAAAGACCCTAGATACATTATCAAACCAAATGGCTCACAGGTTAGAAGAGAGCCTCCGTCGCAAGAACGAGGCTCTGAAGCAAGCATCAAAGCGTGAAAGGTCCGACCCTCGTGGATCCATGGCGCCAATTGTGTCCCCTTGTTGTCTCGAGGATGATGCATTGCCTTTGCAACTGCTGGTGAGACTGGGAAAAACACAAGAGGCAGCAGCTTCTTACTCCGCAAGAAGATCGCTGCTCTTACTCGAGAGGTAAGAACTGGAGGAGATGAAACAATGGTAATTGTCAAATAGGTTGCCTGGCTTCTGACGTTTGACTCGATCTTTGACGAACCAATGCCTAGTTTGCACGAGCAACCGATCTCTGGAGCTGGAAATGTTGACTTGGTCATATATTCGGCTCAGCTGAGTCAAAGTTTCTTTTCTTGTCTTGCCAGCGCTGTGGAGGGCTTTCTGGATCTTTTCATGGCAGCGGCTCCTAGTCTACATGGGGAGAAAGAGGATTCCAGTCTGGGGAGCTCACTGCACTCGTCTTCGACTTCCAAAAACATACCTGCTGGTGCTGTCGCGTCGGTTGTTCTTTGGTGTGACGGGGAACTGTCCAAGTTTGCATCTGCCTTTGGTGGTGCTCGAATTCTTGCAAATCTGGCCTTATCCCCGCCCCCTCGTAATGCTGGAAAGCAACCACGCGTTGTCGATGGCCACCTCGATCCAAGTGGAAACAAAGAGAGACAGGTGAGTATTGTGCAAATGGCAATTGGAGATGTATTTTCCATTGCAATTAATTTTGTTTTGTTGATTTGTACGCACAGAATGCAATAGAGGTGGCTGCCCAATGTGTCGATCAGGCGTTTTCATGCGCCTCACAAAACTTGGACTCTGTCGGTTTGCCCCTGACGCCTCGTTTGGCAGAATACATTCGGTAAGGCCAGCTTGCCTGATTTTTGTACTTTGTCCAAGCATGAACTGAATCAACATCTCACTGTGCAACATTGTAATGTTTAGCTCCCGGTTAAAGGGATGTGAAGCAGAGGTAGCTACACTGCTGAGCGAGCAGTGGAGCCATGTGACACTTGACTGGCAAAATCAACAAATGGACGAGAATGGTGACACAAGTGTTGACGTTTGAACAGCAAATTGAATAGTTAAACCAGTACATTAAGCCTTTCTGCATTGAGTTCAGACCATGTCATGATTTGACTTTCGAGAGGTGCCCTATACCTTACCATTTTGTGGACTTCTACCAGTTTATGGTACCATGAATTTGAGCAACGATAATATGTAGACCAAGAACCAAGAAAGCAAAATGAGGTTACTGTCCCCAACTAGGATAGCATACCGACACCATTATGAGACAGCACATTACATGTAAGATGTAAGGGCTGCCAGTATTGGAACACTAGTAGGTCTTTGTTTCATTGAGGGAAAGGCTGTGTTTTGTTCTCTTGATCTACATGATGTACAAGGCTTAGATCTACTCAATACCGGGACCAGTATGCCAGTAATGATGTACTAGTATGCAAACTAGTAAGCAAGATTTCCCAAAATGTGACACTGTATTATTATTTTTTCGTTACAAGAAATGCTACCTGCAAGCAGCCATGGCATAAATGGTTTCCCAACTAAAAGAATGGCCCCCAACCTGAGAATTCCCCCAGCCAACCTGAGACACTGGGTGTGTCATTGAATTCAAAGTGTGGTAGAATGGGCTGTCAAAATCCAAATAGACAGCCTCGTTGCCGTCTTCCCAAGCAACATCAATCATCCATATTCGTGGTTCTCCAAAGTGATTTTGTTGTCAGTTATTAGGTGCGCTCACCGCGGATACGGCGGGCCAGCTGGATATCCTTGGGCATGATGGTCACACGCTTGGCGTGAATGGCACAAAGATTGGCATCTTCAAACATTCCAACCATGTAGGCTTCGGCAGCTTCCTGAAGAGCCAGAAGCGCCGATCCTTGGAATCTGTAAGAAACACAATGGAGAAGGCAGCTGTGAGTTCACTGATAGTGCCATGGTGGCAATCATGTCCAACCCCAACAAGGTATTGTACTTACCGAAGATCATTCTTGTAATCTTGGGCAATCTCACGCACAAGACGTTGGAAGGGAAGCTTGCGGATGAGGAGGTCAGTGCTCTTTTGGTAGCGACGGATCTCACGGAGAGCAACAGTTCCAGGGCGGTAACGGTGGGCTTCTTGACACCTCCAGTGACAGGGGCGCTCTTGCGGGCAGCTTTGGTGGCCAGCTGCTTGCGGGGAGCCTTTCCTCCAGTGGACTTGCGGGCGGTTTGCTTGGTTCTGTGGGTTCGAGAGGGGAAGGGAGTAAATGAGGATGGTGTTGAGCAAGAGTTACCAGCAACAAAGCAACCCACTGCAACGAGGCTTGCAAAGCTAAAACCACTTCCAACAACACGAGAGCTGGCAACAACAAGAGAGCTACCATCGAAGCTACCATTACGAGTACTGCTGTGGAAGAATCGAAAGCTTCTGCCAACACCGCCGACCGGTATGGCTGGTCAACAATGAACTCACCTCGCCATTGTTAATAATTGATGCAGACTTTGCTTTGAAGAGCGACTTTTGCCAAGAGCAGATTATGAGGATGAAGAGTAGTGAGAGATCGAAAACAACTAACTTTGGTTTTGAAAGAGTGTTGCAGGAATCGAATCATTGGGTTCTCGGCGCCTTGGCAACGGCTACTCTGGTACCATGGTACACTGTAGCTCCCAAAAACCAACGAATTGCTCGTTGGCCGGCCGGCTGAAGCTAACAGCAAAAGAAGGAGGGAAGCCTGTGAAATTCGCGCCCCACGGCAGCACCGTACAATACGGCTGTTGCATTTCGGTTCTCTTCGTAGATGAATCATTCGAATCATGAATGCACTTAAAGTTAAGGATAAAATGTACAGACCAAAATGATTTCTACCACCACAAAATACACGAACTCTTCAACTACTAGCTAGCTAGCTAGCCAGTAGCTACTATCATAGCTATGCTTAGTACAGTAGCAAGATCTTCCACCACCATGCGCAACCAGCCCGGAAAGCTTCCAAGAATCGGCTCTCGGATCCTTCACCTACCCGCTCTCTTGCCTCGGAGCCGCCTGTGGTCTCTACACGGCTGTTGGCATAGATTTTTTGGCCTAGCTACTTCCAGGATGTGCCACATTGATATCAAGAACAGCACTGTGAGGAGAGCTGACTCTACTCTTCTTCCAGATTAATACAAGCTGTCGGTAACATGTCGAAGCGTGCTTTTGTCATTGCTCTGACTGCTAACAACTGGAGCCAGTGGACACGCTCATAGCTATGGTCACAGGTCACAGTCAGGAAGGGGGAAAACTCTGTATCTCTACTACAGTAAGTGTTACCTCTAGAATTGAACCAGTGCCTCTAACCGTAGTAGGTTTTCACACCCGCAGCAAGTTTCTCCACAGTATCTTTGGCATCTCCCAAAAGCATATCCGTGTTTTCTTTGAGAAAGACAGGGTTGTCAACACCAGCATAACCAGCCGCCAAACTTCTTTTCATCACAATCACTTGCTTCGAGTTCCAAACACGTAGCACAGGCATACCGGCAATCTGAGAGTTGGGATCATCCTCAGCAGCGGAGTTCACGGTATCATTGGCTGCATCAATTATTGTTTACAACATGAAGATTAGAGATCAGATACTCATGGCAGCTCAAGATGACAACAACTCAGCCAATTCCAAAAACATACCTCCAATGACCAAAACCACATCGGTTTCTCCAAAATCATCATTGATCTCTTCCATTTCCTCAACGATATCATAGGGAACTCCAGCTTCAGCAAGCAGCACCTAGAAGCAACAAGAACAATAGTCAACTCAGGTTGGACAAAACTCTGCTTGACAGCCAATACATGCATAGAACCGACTCACATTCAGCTGCCCGGGCATACGCCCAGCAACGGGGTGGATTGCAAAACGAAATGACTTGCCCTGAGCACGGAGAGCCTCCGCCATCTCCTTAAGTGGGTACTGAGCATGTGCCACAGCCAAACCATAGCCAGGAACACAAATGATCTTTTCACTTTCGGTCAAGAGTTTGACAGTCTCGTCAACATTTGTCATTGTCGCCTCGCCTTCAAATGTCATTGCCTCACCGGTGCCTGTGGCTTTGGTTCCGAAGCCACCAAGGATAACTGAGACAATGTCCCTGTTCATGGCATCACACATAATCTTGGTAAGGGCAGCTCCAGAGCATCCAATCAAGGCCCCTACAGTCGTCATGATTGGCATATCCAACATGAAGCCTTCCGCACACAACGCCCAGCCAGAATAACTGTTGAGGACCGTGATAACAACAGGCATATCAGCTCCACCGATTGATGCAGTCATGTGCCATCCAAGGATTCCACTCGTAGTCAATGCGCTGCTGAGCGCGCCCATTCCGAGACCAACTTCAGGGCCTCCCATGACGACGGCTCCTGCTCCCAAAGTAGCAGCTCCAAGACCCATGTTGATTTGATCACGCTGGGCCAGTTGCAAGGGGGCCGAGTCCAAACGCCCATCCAACTTGCCAAAGGCTACCAACGAACCGGTGAACGTGACACTTCCAATCACAGTGGCTAGGTAGATGCTGCTCAAATGGACGCCATCCAGTTTTGTGACATCTGGAACATTCATGTAGTCGCCAACGGCGGCGGCACTGGCTGCCTACAAGGATCAGAAGAAACAATAGACAAGTTAGCAAATTTTGTTTACCACAATGCAAACCCATATGATGGCGAAAATACACACCAATCCAACCAAGGAATGGAATGCTGCAACTGTCTGTGGAAGTGAGGTTGGCTCGACACGATGACCAATGTAGTTTCCAGCAGCAGCTCCCAATCCCATGAGACCAGCAATTCCAGCAGTAGCGCCCCAACTAGGTTGGAGATGTCCGAGTGTAGAGATGACACCCAAGGCTACTCCTGCTTGACCCGAGACAGCACCAAGGCGAGCTGTGGACTGAGAAGCCAATCCACCAATTCCTCCAATACACAAGATACCCGACAGAGTGGCAGCGGCTGCATCGATTTCGGGGAACTTTCCAGACATGGACGCTGCCGTGTAGAGCGCAAGGGTGGCTCCAGCTGGGTAGCCGTACATGTGGTAGTACTCTGGTGGATCGTCTGGACGTTTGAACATGTCCAACATCTTTGTTGTCACAATGAAACCCCCTGTTGATTTGATTCAAGGATCGTGACAAAGTGAGACACAAAAGAACGTATTCAGCAAGTCAAGAACAAAAACAGCAAGGAAGCGTCTGCGTACCAACAATGTTCACGGTGGATAGAGTGGTTGCGGCAGCTCCCAAGAAACTGACACTGGGTTTGGTAGAATGAGCCAACAAGTGCATTCCTCCCAAAGCCGTGGTACCCGAAATGGCATTTGTGACAGCCATCAAAGGCGAGTGTAGAGCATGAGAGACCCCCAGAACGACTTGAACTCCAATAATGTTACTCAAGGCAAAGGTGGTGAGCATGGAAGAAAAAGCCGGATTGGGAGCACATGCTCCCATGGCCAATATCCCGGCAGACAACATTCCAGCCTGTTTGGCTCCTTGAATGTAGGGAGCTTTGTAATCAATGACGGGTTCGACGGCATCCTTGGTTTCTTCTTCCTTGGGTGCGGGTGGAGGGGGTGGTGCAGGAGCTGGCCACATTAGTTTTCCATTTTCGAGAACGAGCATACCTCTGACGGCTTCATCGTCGTGATCAATAAAGTAGTATCCAGCCTCCTTGCTGGTATGTGGTCCAGCACTCAACAAGAACTTGGAGATGTTGTTGGCATATAGACTGGACGATGTCGTAGCGAGTCGCGACGGCATGTCGGTGTATCCAATGCAAGTGACCCCATTTTCAGTGACAATTTTTTGATCGGCCACTGTGGTTTCGACATTACCTCCAGCTTCTGCCGCGAGATCTACAGTGACGGAGCCCGATTTCATTTTTGCGACCATTTCCTTGGTGACCATGGTGGGTGCAGTTCGTCCTGGAATCAAAGCGGTGGTGATGACAATGTCAACATCTTCGCACTGTCTGGTCAACATATCTCGTGCCGCTGCATGCCATTCCTTGCTCATTTCCTTGGCATATCCTCCCGCTCCAGATCCATCTTCTTGGTAATCGACTTCGAGAAACTGTCCTCCCATGGCTTCGACTTGCTCTTTTGTGACGGGTCTGACATCAAAGGCTCGCACCACAGCTCCAAGATTTTTCGCGGTTTGAATGGCTGCCAATCCCGCGACACCTGTTCCAATGACGAGTACTTTTGCAGGAGGAACCTTTCCAGCGGCAGTCATTTGTCCGGCAAAGAATCTTCCAAATTCATTGGATGCTTCTAGTACGGCTCTGTATCCGGCAATGTTTGCTTGACTGGAGAGCGCATCGTAAGTCTGTCCTCTGGAGAGAGTTCTGGGAATACAATCCATGGCAAATACAGTGGCTTTTTGGTCTTGTAGTTGTTGGACGAGTTCCTTGTTTTGGGCAGGATAGACGAATGAAATGAGTGCTTTATCTCCCAATTTGGCAGCTTCTTCCGTCGAAGGAGGACGCAATTTCAAGACAATATCCGATTGATTCCAAACATCGTCAGCTGTGGAAGCAATGGATGCTCCTGCCGCTTCGTAGTCGGCATTGGAGAAATGCGATTTGCTGCCAGCGCCATCTTCAATGAGGACGTTGAACCCAGGCTTGACCAATCTTCCGACGGATTCCGGCGAGGCAGCCACACGACGTTCCAACGGAAAATGTTCCTTGGGGATTCCTACTGTAAGTTTGTCATAGGGAATTCCCTTGGGTGGTGCTTTCTTGTCATCGTCCACCTTGGTCGAGAAAGTTCGAAGGTAGTGGGTGGGAGGCCGGAATCGGCCTCTCGCCAAAGACCCACTGGTCGAAAGGACCCGTAACATGATGTTGCTTTCCTAGATGGATCGATCAATGGAATTGATTACACAAAGGCTCCACCAATACCGTATGACTCCAACTATTGCTAGATGTACTCTATCGGCCTCTACTCGATCTAGCCTGTACCAAGTACCTGGAAGTTGGTTGTGTGCGTGCTGATGGCCAATAGAATAAAATGGTCGTTGAACTGGTGCTGGAAGATCCAACAAGGTTCTCAAAAGTTTACTCAGGTTTTCTAAGAGCCCTCCGTTTTGGATCCAATCTTCCAGAGGATTTTGTGGAGAGGCCGGCCGGCGTTAGAATCGAACCCTTTTTCTTACTACAAGGGACAAGGCTTGTGCATGCACTTAAATATCGACGGTTGTTAAATCTTTCAATTGATTCGTTGACTGTGCTTGATGACACCCTTTTCTTTGACGATGGCATTGCTACGCTCCGACGGAGCCAGAGACAAGAGACGGAAAAGCTTATTATCCTGTGTTATTTTCAAAACTGACCTGTCCTGATCATCAAGCTACCGTATCCAATCAAGTACCTGATAGCTAGTTTGCCGCAGCCAAGAATTCGAAGAATTAGAGCAAGCAGAAGAAGAAGAAGTTTTTCTTTATATTATTTATTGCTTCTACCATTACGACAACGACAACGACCCACCTGGGCAGTGCCACACGGACGGCTCCTGTTTATTGCAACGAAGCGTTTCGCCAACGAACAGAACAGGCAGCAGCACCAAAAAGTCCTTCCTTGTTGGAGTTGTGTACTCCGGATTTCGATTGTGTCTGCGGCAGAAGTCGAACTGACACGGCAGACGACAATCACTCCATAATCACCGACACTGGTTCTACTACACGTACTACTACTGGTACTAGTACCATGGAATCCTCTCCACAACCTCCCAACCGCTTGGGAGAATTGGCGGGAAATGCGGGACGAGCATTTAGTCAATTTGCCACTTCGTCACTCCAAAATTTAACCACCCGGAGATACACATTACCCGATAAGAGTGTCGCCTCACAGGTACTCATGTATCGACAATTGCTACATACCAAGTGCCGTCCTGGATTGAAATTGTCACGAGACTACCAAGGAACTCCTGCCCAAAAGGCCGTCCTACACATGCCGGTGAGTACCGTACTAGCTAGCTAGATACTAGTAGGGATGGATCGATTGATTTTCTCGTTTTCGTAGTGGCATTTTCTGACACTTTGTCATCCCAAATTCTATTCTTTCCGTGCCTTTGGATCAGTGGTGGGAAGAAGGAATTGAACAAACAGGAAAAATGATCATTTCATACGACAACCTCATTGTACGACTCTGGCTGAATGGAGCAATTATGCCATATGTACAGATTCTAGAAGCAGTCGACAAGGCGTCCATTGAAACACTCGTAGATGAAAAGGGACTGCCACCTATTCCACATGATTATTGGGTCGATAGACTCGGATTCCAACAACCTGATCCCGTCACTGACTTTCGTTCCGGTGGAGTCTTGAGTCTAGCCATGATGGTACACATTGTTGAGGCGTGGTGCGTAGAATGAATCGAATCGAATGATGCATCTTCCAATCGAATACTTATACCACTTCCAAGAGCAACTCTCACATTATTTGGCTCCTTCTGCTTTAGTCCTCAAGTCCACGAACGATTCGTGGCCCCCAAAGGCGATGCATCCGTCTTGCCCTTTGGTATTACATGCATTAATGTCACGGATATGCTCTCCAAATTCTGTATGCTCGCAAAGAGTGTCGATCGAATGGATGCATTGCTCAGTCAAAAACCATTTTGGAGATGCTTTGCTGATCCATCCTCCATTCTCGTACTACAAGAACTTTCGCTCGATATGCTCGCCGATGTCGTAGTCGAACTCTCCGAAGAACGACGGATTCCAGGATACACCGCGCCGGATGACGACAAGAACCAAAGTAGCTTGCACAATGACAAGGATGAACCGGGAAAGGTAGGCTCCTTCACCTACCTGGAATGTTTTTTGACTCGACTCAACTCGAGTCGATTCATTCATTCATTCTATTGACCGTAGTATGAACTAACACTCTTTGTCTTCCTCTGCCATACCGGTACGGCAGGTCACTGTGTTTGATTTCTCCGTCATCATGGAACGAACCGAAAAGCGAGTAGAACGGGATTTATTGGGGGCTGGACCCAAATCCGTGGAAGAACTCAGAGCGGTTCGGCTACGATTGAAACAGCGATATCGCAATCAACTAGAACGAACAAAACAGAGGGCCGAACAACAACGCCAGAAACAACAGCAACAACAATTGAAGCAGCAAGATGGAAACAACAACAACGAAGGAGACGAAAACAACAATGTGGGTAGTACTGGTATGCAAGACTCTCGAAAGATGGCCGATCAAGTCATGTCCCATGCGACCAACGTTGCCAGTGGGGCCACGACCATGGCAGCCGGTGTACTGGCCAAAATAAAGAGTCCTGGGTTCAACCCACTTCGAAAAGGAGAGGATGGAGATGAAGCTGCCAAGTCCAGCCAACGACCCGAAGAACCCGACCTGATGGCATTCTCGGGCTCGGAGGAGGATGGGGATTGGGTGCAGTCACCTATGGAGCCTCCAACGGACGCAATTGAACACTTTAGTATTGACGACGACGACGACATGCTGTAGTCACTATAAGAATAATGCGGATATACCTCTGTCCCACCCCGCAGATGTTACTAGTCCGTGTAGTGATAACCAGGGGCAAACAGCACACATCAATTGCAGACATCGATGACTTGCCGACGTTCAACAATGGGCTCGACGTGTTGACGGTACATGTAACTTGCACGCCAGTCCTAATATGTGAGCGCTTCGCAAAGAACATTGCTTCATTTGATTGCAGGGTGGTATCTAGCAAGGCATCCAGTACATGTAGCCTGTATGTCAGTCCTAAACTGGCTAGATATTGATAGTACATCGTAATGATTGGTTGAATGAAGCAGCTTAGCGGTGATATCTATATACAAAAGGAAGCAGACGGATGCTCAAAACATTGTGCATAGTACCAGTACTATTATAGTACGCAGAAGAGAGCGAGAGCTTCATTGATTGCCAGGAACCTGCATGTATCCGTACAAAAAAAAAAACACAAAACCATTGTATTGTTTGGCAAAGGAAAACGCAATTTGCTCCGAGTACGGTACTTCTGTCCACGCAACCGTCGACAACCTGATAAACGCTTGCATGCATCAGCACCCTTGAAATTCGAGCAGACGTCTTGTTTTGTTTCCCAACACGTTCTCGCTCATTCGCCTACACAGCCAGTCAACGACAATGTCATCTACCGCCTCTTCGACTCGCACGTCGTTCGCGCCCTGGACTCGACTCGACCTTCACCGTAGAGATTGATCCCGTTAACAATCAAACGGAAGTGGAATGCTCAATACTGCTCTTGTCTTCCTCCTACTTGGCGTTGTTCCGGAAGATAATCATCCACATCGCCGTAGACAAAAACTGTCATTCCAATGGGGGATCGTTCCGCTGTTTCGTCCGCCTTGGTTCCGCTTCTGGAATCCATCAGCGCTGCCATAGATCGCGACCGTCCCATCGAACGCACCACGAAGGCTTCCGCTGTACACGACAACGCCATCACAAACATGGTCGTTGTAAACAGACTTGCAATGCTATTTCCAGTAGTAGTAGTCGAGGCGCTCATCTTATCTTTCTATCAAATATTGTTTCGTCCGTCTGTATTGGAAAGAAGTGACCTGACATGCTGCTTCTTTTGCTTCCGCTGCTGACCCTCATACAGTAGGTGATGATGGAAGATGCTGGCCCATCATCCATCTGTTACAGATCAGCGCAGGGTTACGTGGCAGAAACCACATCGTCCCTGTCTCCCAAACTCTTTGCTCTTCCAAGGAAAAAGTGAGCAGACACCAGCTGCATGGGTGCCACCTCAAAGCCACGTCATACTCTACTGGTTCAGCAACATGTTCCTTCGTTCCTTCTGCGTTCTTCAAGACCCACACTGGCCCTGAGTGCCGGATCTTAGACAGTCCAGTCGTCCAGTCCTCTCTTTCGGGTACCACACGGTACACGTACCGTATGGTTACTGGTAGCTACGGTAACTGGTACCGGTAGCTAGCTAGTACTCATATGGTACCGGTACTGTCACCGGTACGGTCAACTGTGCCACAACCCACCAAACAACCAAGACAACAAGACAACAATCCTTTTTAAAAAAAGAACCTTCTACTTCTTACTGAGTAGTCTACAAGACATCTATATCCGGGCACAAAACAACTGCGCCGGATATGGTAGGCAATATCAGGGAGACATTGAAGTTTCAGGAATAGGTACAGAAATAATAGAAGACTGGCCATGGGATAAGTTTCTTCAAGTTGAGATTATCAAGCCATGGCTCTGCTGCAGGAAGACAGCAACTGCAAAGGATTTGTAAATGGTACCATAAAGAGGTCATTCAGCTGCCAAGGTGCGAGACAGCTCCAAAATAACAGGTTGTCGGTAGGGTGGATTGATCATTCAGTCTGTTGGCACATCTGAATCTGAATCTGTTGGCGCTTGGTCTGGGTAAGACAACCTTTGAGGCTGCATTCTTCCCCTGTAAAATTGGCGACTTGTAGGGCGTATTGATCGCAACTTGCTCATAAGGATACCGGTACGGTTGAGGAGTCGCCATTGGATCTTGCTCAGAAGAATCAGGAACAGGAGTTGCCCTTGCGTGGCGGTTGCCTCCACCCAAAGGAGTCCCCTTTGGCCTGCGGGCTCTCCCCTTGGATGCCTCCTCCTCGTCATCTTAGCCACAAGAATGAGGATCAATAGGAGTCCCCCTTCGAATGCCGACTCTCCCATTGGGTGCCTCCTCGTCATCTGATCCACCAGAATGAGGACCAATAGGAGTCTCCTTTGCCTTTTGCTTGCGTTCATCGTCAGCATTGTCTTCATCAAGAGAAGCAGGACCAGGAGTTGGCTTTCGCTTGAATGAAACTCTCCCCTCGAGGGTGGCCTGAGTCTGGTTCTCAGTGGTCTTGTGGGGAGGCTTTTTGGTGGCCTGGGTGGAAGTCATTTTCATGATGCCGGCCGTGGGACCATTGGCTTGGTGGTTGGCACTACTTTCACTGGGAGTTTGGCGGCGGCGCTTGGGAAGGGGGGCCTGGTTGGTCTGGGCCTCGTTCTCCTTCTTGCGCTGTGTGCTACGCTCGATGCTACGCTCAATGCTACGCTCACTGCTACATCGGCGGCGGCGCTTGGGAGATCCTTTTCGTTCTTGTCGCTAAGCTCACCGTGAGTGGGGCTGTGGTGGCGCTTGCGAGGGGGCGCCTCGGGGTTGTGGGTCTCGTTCTGGCTCTTGGTGGTCTTGGAGGGAGCCTTTTGCTTGGCTTTGGCAGTCACAGACCTGCTCTGGGCTTTCTTGGTCTTGGGGGGAGCCTTTGGCTTGGTTTTGACGGCAACTGCAGCACCAGCAGCAACAACAACAACTACGGCTACTATTAATAACTGTGAAACTTGTTCAACTGTTACTTGCTACAGCTAGAACTGTTATTCAATGTAAAGGTTATTATTCATTCTTTAGTGGGGCTATGTGTCAGGTTGTGTGGCCAGGCAAGTTGCTAATGGCCCAAGCTTGTTTGAGTAGCAATAGCATATGTAGGGAGTCTGTATGTCTTTTTCCGGAAATATCTCACAACAATGTCATAGTCGAACACTTCTGGTTCAGGTCTTTGAGGCTGGTAGGCACCCCTATAGTGATCATCAGAGTCAGACCCATTATTGTAGGGAGGCTCATAATCAATGTCAAGACGCAGCATTTGCCTCGTAGATCTAAAACGAACAGGTGCGGGTTCTTCATCCTCCGCCATTGATCCCCTGTGTGGGATGCTTGTAGGGGCAACAACACTAGCAGGGTGCAACCGAATGGGTGGAAGGCTCTTTAGATCATCCATATTTCCGTCGCCATGAGCACAGAGACCATCGAAAGTTGCCGATCCAGCCGACCCAGCCTGTACCGACGGGCCGTTCGCAGGGGGGGCACCTGGTTGTACCGGGCGAGTTGGATCATCCGGAACCACAGGGTTGTCCCCAGAGACCAAGACAGGAGCAGACTCAACCACCGGTTGCGGCGAGGCGCGAGTTGGCTCATCCGGTATTGGTAGAGCCATACCAAGGGCTTCTGCTGGTTGTTGGTTTATTGTGGCCGAGACAATCGACTTGTTGTTGTTCTTTGCCGGTGTTGGCTTCTTCTTGACTGGCTTTGGCTCCGACGCATTGGCCGTCTCTTGTTGGTTGTTAGTGGCTGAGACGATCGACTTGTTGTTCTTCTTCTTGTCACGCTTAGACGCCTTCGGGTTGTCTCTCTTTGGTGCATCGACCTTCTCTCGTTTTGGCGCTTTCTCCGATCTCTTCGCCTTGTCTTTCACGGACGCCTTCACCTTGCGTCTCTTCAATGGCTTCTGGGAGATGGCTGTCGCAAAATCAGAAGCAGGAAGGGATTGAATTGTTTGAATGCGTCGTCCCTCTTGTCGAGTGCGCTTCTTCTTGGGATTTGCATCTTCTTTGATAGTGACTGAGACAATCGACTTGTTTTTGTTGGGAGGTGTTGGATTCTTCTTGGCTGGCTTGGGAGCTTTCTTTTCGTTTGGCTTCGATGCTGCATTGGCCTCTGTCTTGGCTTTGTCTCGCTTCGACGTCTTCACCTCGAGCCCCTCCGATGGCTTCGGGGAGCTGACGGCCACAAGTTCATCAAGAAATCCATCAAGAAGGGATCGCCGTACCGGTAGAGAGCGGCGCTTGTCATCATTGCTGGCCATCTTGTCACCATTGCTGGCCATCTTGTCACAAGAATTTGGAATTGAAGGGGGAGAGTGGAGAGTGTGGAGGACGAAGCGAACGGCCAAGCCAGAAGCCAGCAGGGCAAAGTTGTCAATTCATGATTGATATGCCTCCTGGCTCGTCTCCGTTTCCATAAATCTTTTATTACCAACACCTAGTATTCGCGCGCTCCGCGCGCTCATCCCTTTCTCTGCTTCGCCCCGATCCTCATTCATGCGAAAAATGTGAAGAACGCAAGGCGACTTTCATGTGCATGTACATGCGTTGACTGTATCCCGTCAATACAATACTAGTCGAATATGTAGACTTCTACAGAGGCCTCTAAGTAATGCGCGCGGGGTATAATTCAAACCTCCACTCCCCATCGGTACCCTTACCCCTAAAAGCAAATCGTCTCCGGGAGACGAAATTCGATTGAATGGTTGAAGATTCAATCGAATCATTCGATTCGATTCGATTACATGTAAGGGGATTTCTCCTCCCCCCAACCAGATTCTGGATCCCTTTTCCAGAATGGGGATGGGCAAATCTTGCAATAGTCCTGTATTGTAATATATAGGGGGGTTTTAGAGTAGGGAAATTATCTACGGAAGCCAGTCGGGGCCAGGCTTAAGCAAAGAACAGTCGAAATTCAGGACTAGGTTCTGTGGGATCAGGGGCAAGAAATTGAGGACCATTACGGGGGGCAAAGGGTTTGGCTTTGCGGGATCCACAGAGACATAATGGGTAGCTTTCACAAGGCAATTGAGATACGGGTCTGCATGAAGAACATCATTTGAGAGTAGGAAAATTGAGTTTTGAGGCAGTAGCAGAAGCAAGGCGTTGTAAGAGAGTCTTGGCTTGAGGGCAAGCATGCCATCCACTGAAACAACAAAGGGGTGGAAGGAAGCGCAATTGGACTCGCACGTGTCTTTATATTTGGAAATTTTGTCGCGTTCTTGTTGGGTTAAAACTTTGACGGGATCTTTGGTTGCGGTAAGAGGCACAGTCCAAATCAGTGACACGTACGTCAATAATAGCTGTAGTACCTCGTTCAAACAAGCCGCGAATGGAAAGATCACCACGTAAGAGCTCGGGGGCTGGAGGGGATTGAGAGGGGGGGGAGGAAGGGGAGGTAAGGTAGAAATTGGGTGACCGGCAGGGATAGTAGGGGCGGGAACAGATGGAAGGGGGTGGTTCTGATTGGACGCTAGAGGAACCAAAGCATCACATGCAATAGAACCAAGTTCATTGCGGATTTCATTATGGCGACGGATGATTAAGCCACCGCGTTTGCAATCCAGAGCATGTGGAACGCTGAAGGGACCAGTACAGCCATCACAAAGAGCTGGAAGAGCTGGGGGGGTAAGACCGAACCGGAGAAAGAGAGCATCACGCCATTCTTGAGCAGAGAGGTGAGTGCGTTGGCAATATCGGGCATGACTGCAAGCCAGGAGCCAGTGCAACGACTGGATTGAGGCGGGACTGCTCAGCCGGAGTGAGAGTGGCTTGATGGGTCTCGAAAGCCGCTTGGTAGGCGTCTTGATGGCGTTTGGTGGCGCTGATACGACCTTCTGTGAGGGCTGTGCGATGGTCTTCAATTCTGAAGGGATGACGTGGGGGCTCAAGGAAGGGGGTGGCAGGGTCGTGGAGGGCTAGGGGGGATGGGAATTAAGGGCAAGGGGGCAAGAAGGGATCGGGTAATTTCCGAAGTAATTTCGCGACTGGCAATGTAGCGGAGGGGGGCTTCCGTAATGGGGTTGGGAGAGAAAGGCCAGCAACTTGTATGGGAGGGAAGTGAGAGTCGGGGGGGTAGTTCGCTTGAATGAAGGTTCCATAGCGGGGAGAAGCTCAAAATCCAGAGCATTTTCCAAGGGAAGCCAAGAGTCCGAGGGGACACGACAGACACGTTGCACAAATTGCCATTCCATTTGGAGAGACTTTTGGCAGGCAATATAAGCCGACTGGGGGTAGAACTGAGCCACTTCACAAAGAGATTGAATGCAGGCCGTCCAAGTTGTGATTTTGGAATAAACCCAGGAGGAAAGGGCTTCAGGTTCGCCGATATGACCACCGAGAAATCTGGCACCATTGGTGACTTTGAGTTGAGAGCCGCGGGTACGCGTAAACTGAGTGGTGGCTGTGTGAAAATTGGCACTGTGAGTAATAATTTTGCATTTATTGCGCTGAACAAAGTAGCCGAATGGTTTGCCTAGTCTAGAAGCAATTGTAAATCAGTAAATTTGCCGGCAGCATTGGTATCATCGGCATACCAGAGATGCAAAAGGTGAGGGAACTCATGGTGAAGCCGTTTAATGAGAGGAACTAAGGCTAAACCGTAGCAGTACATGGCTAAAGGATCACCTTGCACGACTCCAACAGCGCTGAGGATAATGTGAGCTGTTCCAGCGGTGGAGTCGTGAAAAATAACAAGGGACCAATGTTTGTAACTGTTGAAGGTAAAGCGGGCGCCTTCGGGCCAAAGATGGCGAACTGTATAAAGCATGGCAGTTCGATTCAATTCGTTGAAGGCGTTAGAAGCATCTATAATAAGGAAGCCAAAATCAGAGTCGAGACTGTCAGATGAGCCAAGGTGATGATCCCAAACATGATTTGCCGTGTGGACGGCACCTTCAATGCCTGCTTTCAAACCAACGGAAAGCTGAGAAGTGCCAGCTGCTGCAGCCGCAGCGGGGCCAGCAACAGCGAGGACACATTTGGCAATGTAGCGTCGTTCAATGTTACCAATACCTATGGGGCGTACACCGGGAAATTTATCGAGAGCCATGCCGCGATTGGCATTGAGAGCTCGGATGGCGGCCCAAGGAACCAAGTTGTTGGCTTGCCATTGAGCAAAGAGACCAAACGCAGCTCGAAGTTGGGTACTAGCTCGGCGATAGCGAAGGAGCCAATTTTTGAGAGTTGGACCATCGGTGCCGCCTAGGCCACAAGCACCGGATAGTTTGCCAGCAACCTGTTCAGAAATTTCAGGGGTAATTTGAAGATCTACAAAGGCTGGTGGGGGAGCATCGAATTTGGGAAGCTGGGCTAAATTAATAGGGGTTGGAGAGGGATGCTTGGATTTGAGAATGTCCAAGACAGACCGCTCGGTGCCCTTGCCGTCATCAGTGTGAGCTGTGGGGAGCAGCACGCCGAATTGTTCACGTGCAGTGATAAAGCGGACAGCTCGGCGCACCTCACCTTGAAGCATGAGATGCTGAAAGCGGCGGGCTCGTTGTTCTGGTGTGCTGGAGCCGCGGCGATCGGAGAGGAAAGACTCCATGGCTTTGTGACATTCGGTAACAAGTGATTCATAAAGACCACTGTCCCATTGATCAAGACGCCGAGTCAGCAGTGGTTTGATGTCGCGGTTCCGGCGAACATGAGGGACCTTTTGAAGAATGACCATGGTAAAAATCAGGGGCTTTTCCCAGTTGTGACGTCGGTAGACGACACCTTCAATAAGATCAGCATAGGTTCCGAGGAAGCGTTCGGCAAGAGCACCACCGGGAAGATGGTATTGATGGGGAAGGCATTGATATAGACGTTGTAAATAGGACTGCCAGAGTTGATCGGTTATGGGATCGATGCCACCATGAAGGTGGGTGCCGTCATTCCAGTGGACATGGTCACCATAAAGAGCGTCTAGACTGTTGTCGGCTGTGGTGGGAGAAAACCCGGGAAGATCACTATCAGCGGGAGCATAATCAGTAGGCCCGAGAGGAGGAGGTGGAGCCGGCACTGGGGTGTTTGGAGTGTTGAGAGTACGCGGCTGTGGAGGAGTGGAGCCGGGCGTATTGGGAGTCCGGCGCCGGGGACTTCGCCGTCGGGGAGTGCTGGCAGGAGGAAGCTGGGAGGCAGGAGTAGTAGTGGCTGCAGGAGGCTGGGAAGCAGAAGTAGGAGTGGTTCTGATGGAAGCTAGAGGAGATTGGGTGGCCAAAATTGGAGTGGCTTGATGATTGAGGGCTGCCCGTGGTTGGGCGGCAGGGCTGAGAAAGGGCGAGGGGTCGGGATTGATAAGGGAATCCTGACGAACAACTCGACGAGAGCAGCGGCCGGAGGCACGGGGACAGCAGGTGTGGCAAGCTTGTTTGGCTCGGAAACAGCGGCACCAGGATGTTTTGCATTGACTGCTATACTAGCTAGTACTAGTACCATATATTGCCGCACCATGGGAAATGCATTAAGCTGTTTAACCCAGGTGGTGTCATCTGAGTCTGCCACCAATAGTCGTGGCAATGCAAGTACTGCCGAGTCTCCCCTTCTGTCGCTTGAAGATATGATTTGGAGTGGCCAAATTCTGTCGTTTGTTGGTGTTGGAGAGTATGCTTTTGTCGGTGCTGTCAACAAAAAGATGAATATCAACGCTACAAAAAGTACTGTGAAATGGAACTCAAGAAGAATCCAAGAAAGGTACTCCCCTCCCCTATAATGTCTTGTTACCGTCGCTCTGTAGAAATTACTGATACTCTTCTCAGTTCTACATTCTGCAACCGGCCCCGTACAGAACTCTGGCTCAAGGACAATTCTGCCTTGAAGGAACCTCATCATGAGTTTTGTTTGTCTGCCATGCAATTGCCCCAGTCGGAAGTATCACGGTCATGAAATTGGCACGCCAAAATGGATTCCCATGGAATGAAATGACATCTGCCTATGGGGCTGAAAATGGACATTTGGAATTGCTCCAATGGTTAAGAGAGAATGGTTGTCCATGGGATCATTCGACATGCTCAGGTGCGGCTAAAGGTGGACAATTGGAAGTATTAAAGTGGGCTCGTGACAATGGTTGTCCATGGGATGCAACTACATGTGAACGTGCTGCTCAATATGGACATTTGGAAGTGTTAAAGTGGGCTCGTGCAATACACGGCTCTTAGCCTTATTCGCGACTCGATCCTAGATAGGGTTTGAGTTCGACTCATGACTGAGTCTCTCGTGAATAATCATTGAGACAGGGTTCTCAATGACCGCTCTAGTCTTTTAGTCATACTAGGTTTGATGATGAAACATCGCTCTAGATATTTAGCCAGCGTGGAGTACTTCACGCCACTAGATAAATGCTGACGAATCTTCCACGTGTCCGTTTTTGGATCGTGGATGATTAGGATTGCTACCGCAACCTACTCTATCAACTCTACAGTCTCCCGCGGGATTTAAGATCTACGATCCATTGTAGTATCTCTCTCGTGAAATTGTGTTTCATAGCTTTCTAACTCTCATAACTTTCTTCTCTCAAACTCAAAATCACTCGAAAGATTCTTTACACTAGCTTTTAACGTATTGCATTTTGTTAACAAAAAAAATAGCTTTCAGCTACCTCAACACTATTCTTCACAATGAAGATGTGCAAAGAAACGCATACACCAGCTTCGAGAACTAGATGCTGACAAACCCATTCCTTCCTCTCATCGACCTCATGATGAATGCGAAATCGCGATTCTCGCTCTACCACTTACAAACTTCGCACTATTCCAGCAGATGCTAACAGTGCCAAGTACACCTTCAAGGTCAAAATCATTAATGGATCTGAGATCCACGTCAACCCATCAAGTGGCTGGACGTATGGGAAAGGTCTTCGTCGGGCTTCACTGGAAACGAAAAACTCTGCCAAACAATGAATTTGCCTGTAGTTTCACTCTACAGAAAGGGCAGAGTGAACTCCCAGAGTTTTGGCTAAGTAATGAGTTCTAACAGCCGCAGAATGTATGTGACCCGAGTTGGCTTGACAGGGATGGCAGGCGCAGTATTCGATCCTTGCAACAGACCAGTATACTACTATATATACATGTATAATAATATAATTTATAACCACAGGTTAAGCGTCCTAGAAGAGGAGTTTTCACATTCACAAAGTACACAAAAGAAAACAATTACGCCCTCATGAAAACCAAAAAACAGTCAAGGTGAACTGACAAAAGACATATGGTGATGCACGAAAGAAGGCAACAAAGAAGAACAAATGTTATCTTATACGTTAATTTTCAGGTCTGAATAGAATAGTACTAAAACCTTCCACCTCAATCCTCCTGGCTAGCCGATATCTTTTGTCATGATGTTGATTCTCTTGCATGGATAGCACAAAGGTGGAACATTGGAACATGTCCACAGGATGGGCTTCTGAGCTTGCTGAGAGACTTCCATTGCAGACCCTTGAACCGTGATGTCTTTTCTAATATCAAAGCTATGTCTCGGACAAGAGCTGAAAGGTCAGTCTCCTGATTAGGAGTTCGGTTGACTTCTGGTACTTTCGAATTTCTCGTAGAGCACAGTTCCTGGGCGATAGGCTGTCGCTTTTTGACACCACCTTCAATGGAGGAGGGACCTTCCTGGCGGCCCTCCTTGCTAGCGCTTTCCGAATCTGGATGTTGTCCGTCGATTACTTTGCTTGCAGTTGGTTAGTCCTTACCATAAGTGAGGAAATCAATTTTATGTCTCATTATTTTTGGACTGTGATGTATTCGTTAAATGCATGCATAGTAGCATGCCGTCTTTGCTCTCTAGTACAACTTCCTGCTGGTATGATATCAATATAGTCGTTGTCAGTACTGGGGCTGGGGCTGGTTGGGGTCATTCTGTTTTCTATATATGAAAGGTTTGGGTTCGGTTGGCATGAGAATTCAATGAATCTCGTTGGCATAACTATTTTTGAAAAAGTGGATGGGGGAGGGGGGAGAGATTTTTGAAAATGTGGTCAGTCTCACGCAAAATCCTGTCCCGACCAAACGAAAACGAAAAACAAGGAAGAAATATGCCACTCCCTGGATTCTTGGTTGGATAGTGAGGTGTGCAGATGCAGAAGCGTATTCCAATGCTACCAGTGATCTTGTATAGTGGGTGGCCTCTGTGTCTAGAAGAAGATAACTGCAACCATTTGCTTTGATTCAAGCTCAAAAAGGTGAGGCTCCAGGTGATAGTGGGCTACCAGAAACCTAAAAGACCACGCTCCAGATTCACCTCCGAACGCTGTCATGCGAGTCGAATCCTCTTTATGAGAAGATGGGCCTATGTTTTTGAAGTGGATCGGGTGCTAAATATGTAAGAAGAAAAGGAAGAAGAAGACATCAAGAAAGGAATCTGTCAAGGAAGAGACTCGGTGAGAAGAGGACATCAGTAGGTGGGTCACAGGTTCAAGGACTGCCAAGCAACGACAAGGAAGAGGAAGGAGTCGTGACAGCGGGAGGCAGCGGAAGCAAACAACAATCAAGGGCTGAACTTCATCAGTAGAGGATACCCAAAAGAGTCATCTGAGTACGAGCGCAGTGAGGGCAAGATAGTTATCGAGCCGCGGCTGATGACAGAGCAAGGAGGACGAGAATGAGCATA